TGTAAATTTATTTATTCTGGGCTAAATATATTGGGAAGGTCTGATTAGAAAAAATCTTTTTAAATTTTATAGCCTATTATATTTTATATACTAGCAGTACCCACGGCTTCGGCCGTGTTCAAACTTCAGATCGCTACGAAACTTGACAGGATCACCCGCTGGCCTAATCTGCAGATGGTCTAAAAATTTCATCAAAATCGCTCCAGCCGTTTTGGAACATACGTAATACACATCGATTTTTATATACTCGTATATAGATTTATTGGGGAAGGATATAAAATAACTTACGACCTGAGAAAGCGGATTAATCCTACAAAATTCCACGAAGTGAGAGGAATCTCGACTTGATGAAACGTTAGTACTTTATTTTAATAGTTTCTTTTCGCAATTCCGCTTAACTTTTTTATTTTTATTATACTTTTAAATATAATATAATGTACTAGCAACATACATATGCTCGCTTCACTCGAGTTCGTCCCTCGGTTCGTTTTAACAGTTAGTATGAAATAGATAGACTATATGATATATATAGCCTATAGTCTCCCTTAATAAACGGGCTATCTAATATAAAAAGAATTTTTGAAATCGGTTTAGTAGTTCCTTAGATTATCGCGTTCAAACAAACATTCTCTGTCTCTTTATAATATTAAGAATAGATAATTGCTCAGCGTTTAAGGTGGTAACGTCATGGTCGCTTTTAAACTTCCTTAATAAATAGGCTATAATATAGGCAGTGGTAACCTAGTGGTAACGCGCTCGCTTGGGAAACCGAGTGAAGCGAGTTCAAATCCCGGGTCTCGCACCTCTGATATTTTCATGAGCAAATCATTTCCAACACGATTACCACTTGTCTTAACGGTGAAGAAAAACATCGTGAAGAAACCCTGCATGTCTGAGAGAACCTAGCAAGTTTTCAAAAGACATGTGAAGTCCGCCAACCCGCACTTGGTCATCGTGGTGGACTATGGCCTGATCCCCCGTCGTACTGCAGTGGGATGTTAAAAAGAGCTGAATACATAAATAATATTGGCTCCAAATACATATGTAATAAACAAACAGAATTAACATCTTGTAGTAGGTAAAGATAAAATTATAATAAAAGTGTATCAGCACCTACTAATTAAATATTCAAAATACATACTCCTTCTAAACTCAACCATATTATAAAATCTCATTTTACAAGGTTAACGCGTAACATTTATTACCAAACTAATTATAGGCACAATAAAATTATGAATATCAAAATAATACTCTAGTCGAGGCTATACTGTTGCGTCTAACAACATCTAGACATATTTATAATAAAATTGAAACTAAGCCGAATCTGTACATTAGATATTTTTTCGAACATCTTATATTGAAATAAAAATTATTATCGATACAGAGGCCGAATCTATGATTTTTAGAATTTTTGTCTGTCTGTTACCTCATCACTGAAAAACCACTGGAGGGATTTTGATGAAATTTGGTATGGTGATAGCTGGTTATCCGGGTCATTATATGGGATACTTTTTACCGCGAGAAAATATCTCATTTCTGAGAAAAAATACAAATACTTCAATGTAAGTATATAATAATATGTAAAATCTAAGAATTTGGTTTTTGGTCATCTGAACGCGGGCGGAGCCGCGGACAATGCTAGTGATTATATAAATTTTACAAAACATCCAAATTCATTCAACCGTTTCAGCGTAAAGGAATAACAAACATACAAACTTTCATATTTATATAGTAATCCGATTACTAAATGAAGAAATAAGAAAGTACTCGTACCTACAATCTATATAGGTATTTTATGTTAATAACTTCCATGGTACTTTGACTACTATCACTTTATTTACTAGTTTTCGCCCAGTAGTCTGCGGTTAAAAATTGTAAAAAATGGATTCGTTCCCTTACTTATATGGCCCCTTAAGGTAACCTCAGACTTCAGCAGATATTAATATTATTATAAGAAAAATTTTGGTTATTATAAGAGAGAGGAAAAAGAAAATTCACATGTTTTTGCTTTATACTATCTCCCGCATCTAATAAGTCCCCGCGGGCCTTTACGTATGCGATAAAAGATAAGTGTGGTGAAACCCGGTGTGACGGCAAAGGGGTAAATAGGTACTTACAGCTTTTCCCGTGGCAGCACACCTGAAAAATTTAATGAATTTTTTCCCCAATCAAATCAATTTTAATTCGATCAAGTTTTACATCGATGGAGTGTAGACAAAAAAAAAATCCCACCCAATTGTAATACTCCCGATTTCTTCGAATTTATATTTGTTTTTGGACTATTTTGAGCGCTTTCCTGTCCTCCCAAACTTGTATATCTCCTAATAAGCTGACTTCGGTTAGCTTTTGTTCAAGTTTTTTCCTTTACAGAAATTATTTTATATCTAGTGTAAAGTAGAATCTATACAGATAAATAAAATTGAAGTGTCTATTTGTTATGTCAACATAATAGCATATTACAAAATGCATATGAAATTATATACGGTACTTATAAGAAAAACACATTTTTATTTTTTTTGTATGACAAATAGATAGATCTATTTGTTCCGGCTAATCTCCGAAACGACTGGACTGATTTTGACGGGCGTTTCACTGGCAGATAGCTGATGCTATAAGGAGTAACTTAGGCTACTTTTATTTTAGAAAAAGAATTAGGTTCTGATTAAAAAAACGTACTTAGGGACATACGGACCTACATACTTGATTTCGACACTAATATACAGAGCAAAAGTTTTTTTTTTTAAATTAGAAAATTAGATTTGCATTCTTCAACCATTATCTCGCTAGGATATACCAAACCGAAATAATAACAGAAATAAATAAAGCGGGAAAAAGCTAACACAAGTATAAAATAGCAAACATCATTAACTACGTGTTTATGTATAAAGTTTATTACGTATTAAGCATACACATTATAATATATAGTAGGAAATAATAATATATCTATCACTAGATCACGAGGGCACGACCCACGTTCGTTACTGGTAAAACCGAACAAATATTCCTCAACGGGAATTTCTGAAAATTTGTAGAAATTACAGATCAATATTATTAATTATCCTCTAATTTTGTATACTCACTATTTTAGGTCAAGTGAGAACTCCTGCCATGAAGGAAAATATATAGAAAAAGTTAAAGAAATAAAATTATATGAGTAAAGTTTTAACAAGCAATTATTAAATTATTTAATTTATTTTTTACTTTAATTTTTTAATAAGCTTAACACGCATTAAAACCTTAAAAATTTGTAAACTGTGAAGACTTAATTGGTGTATGTAAAGTTTTTATTCTTTTTGTTTATATGTAAATAAATACTGTTTGTCTTCCAAATAAATAAATAAAATCCCTGTTTAAATTTAGACATCTTCAAAGAAAAAATCATAACTAATATATGGTAATTCTGGTGGAAATAATTCTGCCGCCGCCCATCAAATCTCTTACATTTATGTACAAATTACACATCTGTTCTAATAGAGGACGTTAGAGAACTTTTTTGGAAATGGTATTGCACGTTTCTTCCTTTTCCACATGACAATGTACACATACAAATATGTTCTTATCCAATTTAGAAAAATCCACGTAGATAGAATAGGCTTTATAGGGAATCACACTCGTATTCTCTAACGCATGAGATAAAACAGCCAAAACTACCAAATACGCCAAAAAATTCTTCACCTAAACTTGGTCTTTAATTAGAATATTTTTAAAACTTTTATTATTGAAAAGAAATTTTCCCACCAAAACACACAAACAAAGACTTTGAAATGTCGTAAGAAATATTATATAAGTGTCAACATTCATTATATAACAATTAGGTACGATTTACTCATCCGGTACTACTTTTAATGCATAGCTGATGTTAACGTCTGATATTAACGTTTTTCCTTTATAGCCACACAAGCAACTTATAATAACTTCGCTCGGGTGCGTCCCTAAGTTTTGTATTTATCTATACTAATATTATAAAGAGGTAAAGTTTGACGTTGTAGGGGGTAATCTTTGGATCTACTGAACCGATTGAGATGAAATTTCGTAAGAAGATAGTTTGAGACCCTGAGAAGGACATAGGATATTTTTCCCGGAAATCATCCCTTCAAGGGGTGAAAATGGGGATGAAAGTTTGTATTGCGAAGCAACTTATATTGCCAACTTTTGGCAAATTTTATTACTAACAGCAGCCTGCCATACTCATAATTTATCTGAGAACCTAAATTTCATCCAAATCTATGAAAAAAATTGTTTCATCGCTTCCACCTTACTCCTTCTCTAGCCAGTGAAACATTTAAATATTAATCAAGTTAAATTTTCCTTAGATTAGAGAAATATAAGATAAAATATATGGGATAGGTGGTTTTCTCGTGATGCGTTCCCAGACAGACAGATAGACAAACATTCTGAAAACTATAGATTCGGCTTATGTATTTACAATAATGACTATTTCAATAATATTTACCAAAAAATATTTAATGTACTGATTAATGCAGTTAGAATTTTTTTATATGCATAAATGAAATGGGTCGAAAATAGTTCCCTTTATAATATTTTACGGATTTTGAACAGTAATTTAAAATGAAATATCATAGCATTTAAAACCCAAAGAAAACAGTACCCATTTGTCCGTTACTCCAAACCCCCTATCCCAAGTTCAATTTCATATCTATGACTCAAAGTCGCGCAAAAACTTTATTGGAACAATAATATCTCTTAATGTAATCACAATAAAAATTTACTCACAGTATACTAAAAAAAACCCGACCTATTATATATAATGATCCTCTTGAACCGCTACAAATAAAAATAGATCTTCACATAATTAGTGTAAGGTCTATATTTCATTACTTTTAAGCAGATTATGTTTTGTTTCTGTCTATCTTGTCGCATAGATACGGAAGGAAAGAGACATAACACGGTGTTTGTAATAACTTGTTTTGGTAGTAGTAGGATTACTCACTTATTTAAACTTAGTATTCCGAAAAGCACTACGATTGTTGCACGCCATCATGAAGGGCACAATATTTTTATTATTAATCGCGACGTGTTACGCTGATACTGATTTTAGTGGAAAAGCAACGAATTTTAGTATAGAACTATTGCATCACACGCAATTGGAAACAGATGGACATGTTGTGATCTCACCTTTTGGTATATGGACTTTGCTAACTGGCGTCGCATTAGGCGCTAGCGGTAACAGCAGATCTCAACTCACTCGGGCATTACGTTTGCCTAGCAACGATAATACAATAATAAATGGATACAGTAACTTAACTAAAACTGTGTTGGATCCGCGGACACCAGGAGTGACACTTGCCAGTAAAAATTTCGTCTTCCTTGACAAAGGTTTTGATCTATCAAGAAATTTCAGAAAAATATTAGTATCTGACCTTGGATCGGAGATAAGTAACTTAGACTTTAAGGATCCTACAAGTGCAGCGAAAGTTGCTAATACAATAATTGAAAATTCCGGCGCGACCGTATCTAATGTGCTCAAATCAGAAGATTTTACTATTGCTAGAATGATATTGACGAATGTTATATCTTTCAAAGGACTCTGGCTTTCTCCTTTCAATACCTCTGAGACGCAAGTTGAGCCTTTTTACAATGAAAACAAAACACAAATAGGAACAGTTAAAATGATGTATCAAAGAGCTAGATTGCCTTTTTCGAACATACAATCACTGCAAGCCCATGCTGTAGAGCTACCTTATGGAAATGACAACAAATATTCTATGTTAATTATATTACCGTATCCAAGAATATCAGTTAATGAAGTGTACAAAAGATTTACAAAGGTAACTTTAAAAGAAGTTTACGATAAACTCGACAGTGACATCGCTGAATTCGGATTAGAGGATGTCGATTGTAAAGTGCCTAGATTTAAAATAAGCACAAACGTTGTTTTAAATATGCCATTAAATAAAATGGGCGTTTATGATATTTTTAGTCCGAATGATGCTAATTTTGGCAAAATCACTAGAGAAAAAATATACATCTCAGCAATAGTACATAAAGCGGATATCGAAGTTACTGAATCTGGTACGGTGGCGTCTGCGGATACATCAGCATACTTCGCCGATCGTATATCAACACCTAACTTCGCAGCAAATCGACCATTTATATATTTTGTCATGGAAAAACCCACGACAACTGTGATATTTAGTGGAATTTATTCGAAACCAAGCGAGTTTTGAGCTGTAAGAATGAACATACATATTTGATATTGTTAATAAGTTTAGCTTCAATGAGACGAGACCTCGATGTCTAAGTCAGTTTATTTAAATACTCAGTTTTTTATTTTCTATATCATTTCCCAGGCATAAGTTGTATAAGCTTCTTGGGATAATGTAAACAAAAGCATATAACATTTGTCAAGGTAAAACATTATATATATATATATATATATATATATATATATATATATATATATAATTTTCTGCATATATCCATGAAATCAGTATTGTAGTTTTATATACATGCATAAGTGTTAATATTTCGTGGTAATAAAAATACATATTTTAAATTAAATCTTAATATGAAATTCGTTACACGTGTTACCATTTTAAGATAAGTTTACTAGTGTTATACTAAAAAGAAAAAATATCTAATTAATTTCACTCATATCTGTAATTTTCTTCCTTAATCAATGTCAATCATGAATTTATTAATATAGTCCAATCGGAATCCGGTTTGGGAACAAAATATTGAAAACCTGAAGTTTTATGATTTTAAGATGTTAGCAGGTGTGCAAGGAATAGAAATTCGTAAATTGCCCCCGATGCCCAGCTTCATTTTTTGCATTTTTTTATGATTTTTTTTTACAAAACTATGACTAAATTTTGTAAATTTCAACTTAATTTTGTTAAATTATATTTTTAACTAATGAATGAACAAGATAAGACTATAAATGAATTTCAGTTCTTTCTGTAATTAAAATCAATTTTTTCAGAAAAAATCAATAAATTTAACACCAAAATCGATAAAAACTAATAAAATATCGATCATTGGTATACTTTACATGAATTGCAACTTTTATTATTTTTTCACGACTCGTCAAATTGCAAAGTTGGAATGTTTACGGCGACATTGTATAAAAATAAGCGTCAAATAAAAAACTTAAGGATACCATCCTTTTCGTTTTTTCCCAAAAAATATATTGGTGTAATAAGTTTATAAAAAAAATGGTCAATAAAGTACTTTAATAAAAATAATTGAAAAAAATGTAGTTACAAAGTAAAAATTATCGATTTTACCAATTTTTAAAATTTTTAAGGATGTTTTACAGGACGACTATACAATATTTTTATTTTTCCAAAAAGAGTTCAAGACGAAAAGAATGAGCTCTAATTTAAATTTTAACGATTTTTTTTTAAATGTAAACATCACTTGAAATTAGGGGTGATTTTCAGCCTCTGGAGAACATAAAACATACTTTTCTCGGAAATAACCAAACATTTCAATTTCAATATTTTGTTTATGTTTCATGAAAATTAAAAGATTATTCTAGAAATTAAAAATAAAAAACACAAAGAAAAAGTTAAAAAATTGTAGATTTTTACTAGACCTACAACTTTTGTAGAAAACATTTTTCGATAGAACGTCACAGTAAGACGGAAATTGAAAAAAAAATATTTTTCATCACTTTGCGTCCACCCATTTCTCGGGGGTAGCTGGGCATCGGGGACATTTTATGAATTTCTATTCCTTATATACCAGCTAACATTTTAAAATCATAAAACTTCAGGTTTTCAAGAAAAAAAATTCTCTTAAAAATAAACGGATTCCGATTGGTCTAATAATACAGTAGTAAATTTTGTTATTATACTTTGACTTGCATTTATACATATAGATTAACTCTGGAAATATGTTTTAAATCAATAATTGTAAAGAAATCCTATATTGTTCCTTTGTTCTAACATCTCATAACAATAAACAAAGGTAACCTTAATAATTTAAAATAATAAAACATATGCAATGACCACTCTATATTAGTTTTATTAAATATTACTTAGAAATAAAAAAACAAACAAAAAATGTTACTAATCAATATGGCTCCATTTTTTCAACATAGAGGCGCGTGCGGCAAAGATACGAGGTGGCAAAGTAGAAATTCAGAATGAGTACGTCAAAATCTATAAAATTACCAATATTTAAAACTCCCGGAAAATTTTCCAGCAATATTTTTTGAGCACCAAATGGCTTCTAACAGTATCATATCAACAGAAGTCATATAGATTTAGACAACTACATTTCGTATGTTTTTTCTATATATGTATAATACTAATATTATTACTAAAGGTACAATATATTAATACATAATAATATTATTAATTGTAAATAATTTTTCATTTATTAAAAATAAATTCCTTACAATATATAGGGGTTCAGTGCAAGAGAAGTTGGGAATCTCTGGTGTTGGGTAAGGACACGTAAAATTGGAAAAATAAATTCTTTAAATAAGTAAATGATAATTTACAAACTAAACAAATTAAAAAACATATTGATTCTTTGCGAATGCTGTGTAATACATAAAAACTGGTTGTATTAGTAAAAGAAACAGTTATTTTACTGACTTACTTCAAAAGAAAGTTGGCTTAACGTATCCTGAATATTCATACATCATGTCTATATATAGTTACTAGCGACTGACCCTCGCTTCGCTCGGGTTCGTCCCTAGCTTGATTCTCCATACAAACTTTCATCCCCATTTTCACCCCCCTTAAGGGATGATTTCCGGGATAAAAAGTATCTTATGTCCTTTCCAGAGTCTCAAACTATCTTCTTATCAAATTTCATCTAAATTGGTTCAGTAGACCCAGAGATTACCCCCTACAACGTCACAAACTCACAAACTTTACCTCTTTATAATATTATATTATAGTATTATGTGAAGCATTTTTAATTCAATATAATAAATAATAAATATGTTGGGACATTAGCACACAGCACCATCTAGTTCCATGATAAGCTACGAGGCTTGTATTATGGATACCAGATAGTTGATACACTACACATATATAACTTTAAATAGATACATATTATAAATATAAACACTCATGACTGAAGTACAAGCATTCATGCTCATCACACAAATGAATGCCTCCAGCGGGACTCGAATCCGCGACCGCTGGCACAGAAAGTAGGGTCACTACAAACTGAGCCAAACGTGTTCTCAACAAGCAAATTGTATAGTATAATTTCATAGTTTTAGATCTTACCAGACCGACTGAAAGAATGAAAAAAAAAGAAAGAAAAAAAATTATTTATAAAGATGTAGTAGGTAATGCACTAGCGGCTTAGGTACCGGTTTGTTCACAATTTCATGGGTTTTAATTTTTTTTTTCTAAAATAATAGTAGCGTAAGTTACGCCTTATAACATCAGCTATCTGCCAGATTGCTTGTTTCTTATTAGTACCGTATACACTTTCACATAATAAAAAGCTGTCATTTTGATATTACATACATTTTCATTTTATTAACCGCCGATGCAAAAAGACGGGTGTTATAAGTTTGACGTGTCTGTCTGTGACATCATAGCTCTCGAACGGATGAAGCGAATTCAATTTAGTTTTTTTTTATATTAAAGGTGACTTATGTACGAGTGTTTGATGAAAATCGGTTGACCCGTTTAAAAGTTGTGGGGGGTGAAAGTGGGGAAGAATAAGCGAATGTCTGCAAATATACTCGAGTGGGGTTTCAAATGAAAGCGCACTGAAAGAGAATATTGATGACTTAATCAAGAGTGTTCTCAGCTTCGTTTGATGAGAAAATTGGTGGTGGTTAAATTGGGACATGGAAATCCGATTGTCTAGTGAGAGTATCAATAATTACATCTCAGTCTTTGCCATTCTGCTAAAGATGATTTGTCATGTGGGTTATTTAATAGTTTTCTTTGGTCGAGCTCACAAATTGCTACACCATCCAAGGTTTTTACTGACAAAATCTACATTATAATAAGTATGTACCTATAAAAAGTATTAAATAAAAAATTATTATTAAAAATTTAAAAAAACCCCCGGCACAAAAACCTAAGTTTCCTTTAAAAAGTAAAAATAATAAAAAAACTCAATCTTAAAGTACCTAAGTATGTATTAATAATTCTAAAAAAAATACGTCGCGTAGAGGGATCGCTCCGGACCGAAAAAAATCGTAGATAATAAATAATAATTTGGAGCAGTTAAATCTCTGTGCCAAATTTCATCTACATTCGTTCAGCCGTTCTGGCGTGAAAGAGTAACAAACGTCCATACTCAAAAACTTTCACATTTATAATATTAATACGGATTTATTTTGTTACGGTTTGAGTGTACCTAATAGTGTGTAGTATTGAAAATAATAGTTAAAGTTATTGTAAAATTAGACTCCTAATACTGTATCAAAGCCTATATAAAGCATTCAAAACTGTGTTTATATAATTTAACAATATATACTATACTTCATATGTCACAATGTATTTTCAAAGGAAATCTCGCAAAACTTTTGTTAGTTCTATACTGTAAAAACCTTATTTAGGACAAAACCGCTAAATGCATAAATGTTCTTACAAAATAACACTATTGTCTCAAGTCTTGCGAGACGACGGAAGTCTTATATATAGAATCCTTCGGCTATTTTTTATAATGAGAAACAAAATATAATTCCTCGTGAATACTTTTTATTTATTAAAGTTATACATCTTTTGGCACGTTTGGAAAAAAATATGAGTAGATTTTTTACGATGCGCGCGGACACCGACAGCCAAAAAACGACATGATGAAGTTAACTGAAAGCGACACACTAGCGGGCAGCGGCTTTCCATTAAAACCCAACAAGACCTCCCTCGTCTTAATGGTGCGTCGTAGGATCGCTCACGCACTCAACCACGACGCCCCGACGGCTGGTGTGCCGAAGCAGACCACAACCACTATATTATGGGGTTGCTCCAACAGTCTACTCTGTGACAAGGTGAACGTACAAGTTGAGGGAGAGATTAAGTATAGTAACTGGGTTTTTATGTAAAGGAAACAACCCCCATGCCTTGAGAGCACATAAAACCGTCGATCCTGTGCCTGATCTTTCACCTATCGTGTGGAGCTGTTGCCCCACCGGAGTTTGAGAATGAAAGGAATAGAAACTTCACGCGTGTTTGCGTGACACTTGTCCACCGTCATATCTCCAGCGCACCTTGCTAATCACATTTAGATTGGTCGCCGACGCCAATATTAATTAATAAAGAGGACATTATCTGAAAAATAAATAAATGTGCAGAATAAAATAAATATAGATATTGCTTCAATTTGGCATTTATCTTTCAAGGAGCATTGTTCTGTGACCCGGACGGAAATACAACTCGAGCAAAATAAAACTTCATCTACATATTATTTAGATTTTAAACTTCTCCAACCGGTTTCTGTTAACAAGTATCGCTGGATATTTATTTAATATGGACATCAGTAGAATCAAGTATACTGAATACGTTATAAAGTTTAGTTTTGCTGCCTAGATCTTTATATTCTGGCAACATAAGGGTAATGTAACTTCATATAGTTTGAGTTTTTCAGTAATTTTGAACTATTCAAGTTTTAATCATTATTATTCACAGTTTGTAAAAACTTCATGCTATGTCTGGTCAAATAAAATTAGCTAATAGTACTTTCTTTTCATTATTTATATTATTATTGGTGTTCTAAACTAATTTAATTCATTAGAATCTCTCTTATAGTTAAAGATTAGATTTTCAATTCGATTCCATTTTCTTGTTATTGTTTCAAAGCGTGGCAGTTGAGCACAGATTACTTCGCCAATGTCACGTAGGATGGAGAAGACACGAAGGAGATTGGTCGGTAAAATATGATTATTAGTAATAGTTAGTAAATGCTTCGTAAACTTGCATCTACAACAAAAGACACAATTACTATATACATAAAAATCTTAATTAAAAATAAGTAGTTAGTAAGTTCTGATTATTTTACAAAAATGTTAGTCTATAATCTAATTCAATTACACTTAATATTATAAATTAACACCAATGGGCCGGGAGACTTTGAGGGGGAAAACATCATAAATAGCATGGAGGAGTCTAGGAAAGCTAAAAAGGATATAAAAGGGAGTACCTATATCAAGGCCACATTCGCATAGGGAATGATCCCTAACCCTAATCTTCGCTAGGTGCACAGGTGTACTATTACATGCATGATCAAGGCGCAAACGGCAAATGGTTATGAACCAAATACCAACGTTCCTCAAGTTGTAGGCGATGAAACCAAGCGTGCCTTGGGTCTCGAAAGAATAAATTTCAATGTTTAATGTTAATTTTGTACTCTGGCTTATAGGCATGCCATTTGGAAGAATAAATTTTAAACTGCGCCAAAATTCTGTATTATAGTGTCATTGTCAAGCTTTGTTCTCCAAACCAATTGTCATTTACATTGATCCCACTGAGATAAAGCCGTCTGCGCGAGTAACGGGACATGTCAACATTATAACTGCAATTTCTTTTTTGCGGTATGAGGTATGATAATTTAATTGAATTGAATTTCGTATGTAACTTTAATTTAATTTTTTGTTCTCATTTTAGTACATAATACTTCTTAAAATAGAGTTTTACAATGTCCATGATATAATAAAAAACTATGGGTAGGTATATCTTATTAATTTGGAGAAAAATCAACTGTAAGCAATATTTATTAATTTGTTTGTATAATAATTATGATAGCCGACACCAAGCAATGTTATTAAGACTTAAATAATTTTGTAAAACTAGCGGCTCACCCTCGCTTCGCTAGAGTTCGTCGCTAGGTACGTTTTAAATAGATATAAATAGTTATTAGCCAGCGTTAGCCATATAAACATTTTTTTTGTTAATTTTTAATTTTTTCTCTTTATTAAAACCTTCCGTGGACCTTAAGGAACATACGAAAAAAATTAGCCGAATTGGTCTAGCCATTCTTGTGTTATGCGTCTACCAACATTCATTTTTATTTATATTTAAGATATTGATCACCTATTCTCTAATATTTATGTAGATAATGTACGTATTTATGTGATAAAAAAACTCTATGACAAGTTTTTTATCCGTCCGTACTCCTTTTTTTTTATCCTTATGTAGACATGATAAATTAGGAGTCGAGAGACGTGTTTTCTACCGACTCTTTCGCCATTATAATCCAACCTAATGACTTGTCGTACCTAAGATATAGATAGGTATATAGAATAAAAGCCGGTGATCCTTCATCCTGCGCATTCTTTTAATAACTCTCTCCATACACGGACTGACGTAACGTGTTTTTCGAGGCATGGGACTGTGATATATTCTACCATTTTCCCAATTTGCTAGATTTGACAGAAAATTCGCTAAAAACCAAATTCTTAAGAATTTGGTTGATAAACAAACTTAATAGCTTTTTACTCGGCCTGGTATTCGAATTCAGGATCTTATAAACTACATCTGCAAAAGCAAGACAGTAGAGTAATGATCCTTTGCTCATAGGTTAGACAAACGAAAATCGTGTTGAAAATTTTCTTACATATAAGTAGTAGTAGCCCGGTGGTAACGCGCTCGCTTGCGAAACCGAGTAAAGCGGGTTCAAATCCCTGGTCCCGCACCTGTGATATTTTCATGTGCTTATCATTTTCAACCTGATCACCAGTTGTCTTAATGTGAAGGACAACATCGTAAGGAAACCTGCATGTATGAGAGAACTTAGCATACCAGCCACTACACCACTGAGGCTGTAGTTTTGGATGAAAACATAGATAAGGTATAGGTGGCACTGACTGTATATATAATATTTTAAATGCAAAAGGCACTAGGGACGTACCCGAGTAAAGCGAGTGTACGTGGCTAGTATAGAATAAATATTGACTGAATTATTTAAATTATATTGTTTACAGCTTTAAGTCACGATTGCAATATATTACCTCAAGGAAGGTTGAGCATTTGTAAATGGGATTTTTTTCCGACCGCACACGAAGATTTTTTATGTTTAACAAAATTATCAAACTAGAATACCTACATGTGGCCTAAAACTTAAAAATATAAAATAAGCTATATCATCTAATATCTATACTAATATTATAGAGGTAGTTTGTGAGGTTGTGAGGTTGTAGGGGGTAAACTTTGGATCTACTGAACCGATTTAGATGAAATTTGGTAAGAAGATAGTTTGAGACCCTGGGAAAGACATAGGATACTTTTTATCCGGAAATCATCCCTTAAGGGGGTTAAAATGGGGATGAAAGTTTGTATTGGGAATATAAAAATAGTATAATACGCTTTTCTTCTTTAACTTGGACCATTTTCCATTTCGGTCAATCCAAGTACTCTTGAAATTAAAATTCTTTACAAACTAGCGACTTATCCCAGCTTCACGCGGTTGTGAAATACTGTATGTATCTCATGTATACTACTACACAATTAACTCCCACGGTGGTGTAGTGACTAGCGTGTACGGCTGCACACCCGAAGGTCCTGGGTTCGAGTCCCAGGTTGAGCCAAATTTAGTTAATGAATCTTTCTGTATATTAAGCCTCAAATAACAGCTCGTTAAATATAATAGTTAAATAAGCAGCGCCGTCAGTAAATAACAGCTCCTTTTTGCGTTTCATTTTTTATCTTTGTCTATTTTTATACAAACTTCAATAATTTACTTAAAATAGCATCCAATGAAATTTATTTGATCAATTTTTTTCTTTGTTCCTGACCCCATGGTATTATACAATTTATTTTAGTATAAAAACGATAAAGTTCGCAAGTAAAGAATACTACGGAAGCAACGTCGCAGCAAAAATGTAGATTATAAATATAATACATACGCACAATAATTTAATGTGCCGGTCCAGATAAAATATATTGAACAGTTATCGAATTATGAAAGGAAATGATTAACATTTGCTGTTTCACCATTTTCAATATAGAATAAAAAAGATGGACGCAGCATGAGTATGTACATATTTCAAGTTATTTAATAATAACATTGTAAAAATCAACAGCAATTTATACAAGTTCACTTATACCAGTATGCCATACAACACTGCCTGTGTTGCACGTAATCATGAAACTCATAATATTTTTGTTACTTATTGCGAGCTGTTACGCTGATATTAGTTTAAATGCAGGCATGAAGGATTTTAGTACTGAACTTTTAAGTCACGCGCAATTAGAAACAAGTGGAAATATTGTAATATCGCCTTTCGGTCTGTGGACTTTGCTGGCAGCCATCGCATCTGGTGCAAGTGGTAACAGTAGAACTGAATTAGAAAAGGTTTTGCAACTATCCAGCGAACAGAACATATTATTAGACGAATATAAAAACATATCCGAGATAATACTCGAATCACATACTCAAGATGTACATATTACAAGTAAAAATTTTGTTTTCCTAAACAAGAGTTTTGAAGTATTTGAGTCCTTCGAAACAACGCTGACTGATTTTGATGTACAAATAATAAGGCTTGATTTTGAAAATTATGAAGCAGCAGCGGAACATGCTAGCACTATAATAAAAGAGTTAGGTCCGACAGAATTAGATGTATTTATCATGTCGAAGATGATTTTAACAAATTTAATATCTTTTAAAGGACTTTGGCTAATGCCTTTCAATACTTCTGATACAAATGTTGAACCGTTTTATGATGAAAATGGAAACCAAATAGGTTCAGTGAAAATGATGTATCAAAGAAGAGAACTGTTTTTTTCGAACCTACAGACTCTACAAGCCCATGTAATAGAACTTCCTTATGGAAATAACAACATGTACTCTATGCTTATAGTATTGCCCTACCCAAAAGTAAAACTAAGTGAAATGTACAAGAAATTCACAGAAGTAACATTGCAAGATATATTCGAAAAACTGGACAATGACACGAAAGAATTCGACTTACAATTGGTCGATTTGAGATTGCCTCGATTCGAAATTAGTACTAACATAGTTTTGAATAAGTCATTAAATAAAATAGGTATTTATAGCATATTTAATCAAAAGACAGCTAACTTGGAGAAAATAACTACAGAAAAAATATACATGTCAACTATAGTTCAGAAAGCTAGAATTGAAGTAACCGAAGCTGGTACGAAGACATCTGCTGATACGACGGCTAACATTACCAATCATATAGGCACATTTTATTTTACTGCTAATCGCCCATTCGCTTATTTTATTGTCGAAAAGACTACAAAAACCGTACTATTTAATGGGATCTACTCAGAACCAATCTTGTTTTAAGTTATTTAAGAATTTATAATGTTTTGAATATCATAAAATCAAAAGAAAATGTTTTTCCCGAATAAGTCGGTCATTACGTGTAGTATTTTGCGTAAAATTTGATCTTACCATAAAGTGTGTAAAACTCATCATACCTCTGTATATTGACATGGGCGTACCCAGGTAGTGGCAGGGGGGAGAGGGGGGGGGGCAGCTGCTCTGGATCGTGTATGTCTACTTACTTACTGTTGTCGATATAGTTATGTTTGAGTCAGGTTACGAGTGTTGCGAATTACTTTACAATATATTATGTGTTGACTTATAAAAAAATTGCGCTACGCGCACGGTCCACTGGTGTAAGCTCCACGCTCGCCAGACACTCGCTACCGGGGCAACAACTTACGAAGATTATCGAATCTAGTCTAGCGCTCGTGTACTGGCCTGCGAGCTCGAATTTGACATGTTCTTGATATGAAATAGCCAAACGTAGGTGACGAAACATTATAATCAATGTCCATATCTATACATATAATATATTGTAACTGATCGCTGTCTGTACCGGGGAGATATTTGAGAAAAACTGTTATTGAGGGTTTTTATTAACGCGATAGAACATAAAACAATTATTTTTAGAATTTTTGTCTGTTTTTCTGTGCGTTTGTGCGCGCTAATCTCAGAAACGGTTTAACCGATTTGGATGCGGTATTCACTAATGTATTTTATGGTAAGCTTTACTTAACATTTTGTATTTATTTTATTTCAATCGGTTCATCAATAAAAAAAGTTGTCAATTTAATTAAAAAAACTCAAGAAACATTTATTGGAAAAAAACGTGTGTATACATATGTACGCCTGTAAGAAGTTATTATTCTTCGTTTTTTTAGAGCATTTAAATAAAAGCTTGTTTTTTTTAATTGTTTTAATTTTTTTAATGTTTCTTACTTTTTTTTTCGTATTCTTCTCATCAAACTCTTTCATTTGATATCCAAATCATGGGGGTGCAAAATAAACGACGTTACTTTGCTTATTGTGTTTCGCTCATCAAGCCCTTTTATTTTATACCAATATCATATGGATTAAAAATGGCGGCGTTTAGGAAATCGTGCAGTTACGAGAGTCAAGCGTGTGGGCCAAATTTCAGCTCAATCGGACAATTGGAAGTGGGTCAAATTTAACTTGTAAGATTTGATTACAGGTTATAAACACGTGTTGTGTATTTAGAAATTAAATAAAAAAAATAACTTCACATTGTAGACAATAACAACTAAGTTCACATTATAGTCAATAACCACTAACTTCATACTGTAGTCCAAATCTGTCGCCTAGTAAAAAAATCACTCTCATCATCCATTTTTCATTTTTCTAAATGCGCCAAAAGAAGTATAACTCCAAAAATGCTATAAAATACTGTTCAGTTGATTTGTCTGAAATATTGGTTAATTATTATTATATGTAGTTTGTAAAACGACGATGATTGGAAGTTTATATGTACACAGCAAAGTCAAAAATTCATAATTTTAGAAAAGACGCTGCCAATGTAAGTTGAGACATCTATACTATGGTTGAGCATAGCGTTTAGCTTAAACTGAACTTAAAAAAATTAAAATTCATGAAATAGTGTACAAAATCCACCGAGGGATTCACCCAAGCGAATCGAAGATAAGTCGTTTGGCTACCTATATGGAAATACCCTATTGATAGGTTTGAAGTCGGTGCCTTTAGTATAGATTTCTCAGATCGCAGCGAGTGTAGGTACCTACTATTAAATTTGGCTTGGCGCCGACTTCAAACCTATCAATATGTAGCACATACAAATAATAGTCTTCTTCTTCTTCTCTCTGCCCATTTCCCAATCACTTGGGGTCGGCGCATCTTCTGTATTGCTGAAAGGATTTGGCAAAAGTTTTACGACCGGCCGCCTGCCTGACGTCAACCCTCCTTGGGAATATACAAATAATAGTATTTTATTAATATTATATTTCTCACGCTTCTTCTTCCCTTATCCCGGAGCTACAGTCTATCATCTCTTCTCTCTATATCATAAAAACTGGAGGACCGATTTATATAAAATATTCACTTTCCTGAGATAAATGTAAACAAATAAAAAAAGAATGATCACGATCCAATTACTAATTTTGGAGAAATTCGTAGACAAACATATATATATATGTACATACTTACGTACATACCTACATGTACTTATAAAATTTTGTATAATATTTGTTTGGAAGCCCTAATAGATGATCATAAATAAATATTTTTCAGTTCCAATAATATTACAAACATACTAAAATAAAAGTAGTCTTAAGTTACTCCTTATAAGATCAGCTATCTGCCAGTGAAAGTCCCGTCAAAATCGCTCTAGCCGTTTCGGAAATTAGCCGGAACAAACAGACAGATAGACAAAAAAAATTAAATTTATGTTTTACTTATAGGTATGTACCGTATATAGGTATTTTCATATGCATTTATTAAAAACTTGTTATTTTAACATTACAAACAGACACTTCAACTTCATTTATCGGTATAGATGTATAGATAAACACGATAAAATTCGCAAGTAAAGAATACTAAGCAAGCAATGTAGGAAAATTGTACTTCATAAATGCAATCTGCACTACAATGAAATTAAACATGTATTCGTACAATAATTTAATGTGCCGGTCCAGATAAAATAAATTGAACAGTTATTGAATTATTAAAAGGAAATGATTCAGATCTACTGTTTCACAATTTTCAATACAGAATAAAAAAGACGGAAACAGTATGAGTATTTCAAGTTATTTAATAATAACATTGACATGTAAAAATCAACAGCAATTTATACAAACTCACTTAGTATACCATACAACACTGCCTGTGTTGCACGTAATCATGAAACTCTTAATATTTTTGTTACTTATCGCGAGTTGTTACGCTGATATTAAAAATGCAGGCATGAAGGATTTTAGTACTGAACTTTTAAGTCACGCGCAATTAGAAACAAGTGGAAACATTGTGATATCCCCTTTCGGTCTGTGGACTTTGCTGGCAGCCGTCGCATCTGGTGCAAGTGGTAACAGTAGAACTGAATTGGAAAAGGTTTTGCAACTATCCAGTGAACAGAACACATTAATAGACGAATATAAAAACATAACGGAGATAATACTCGAATCACATACTCAAGATGTAATTATTACTAGTAAAAATTTTGTTTTCCTAGACAAAAGTTTTGAAGTATTTGATTCCTTTGAAACAACGCTGACCAATGATTTTAATGCACAAATGATAAGGCTTGATTTTGAAAATTCTGAAGCAGCAGCGGAACATGCTAACACAATAATAAAAGAGTCAGGTGCGACAGAATTAGATGTATTGCGAGCAGACGAATTTGTCATGTCGAAGATGATTTTAACAAATTTGATATCTTTTAAAGGACTTTGGCAACTGCCTTTCAATACTTCTGATACAAATGTTGAACCGTTTTATGATGAAAATGGAAACCAAATAGGTTCAGTGAAAATGATGTATCAAAGAGCAGAAGTGCCTTTCTCGAACGTGCAGAACCTACAAGCCCATGTAATAGATCTGCCTTATGGAAATAACGACAAGTACTCTATGCTTATAGTATTGCCCTACCCTAAAATAAAACTAAGTGAAATGTACCAGAGATTCACAGAAGTAACATTGCAAGTTATATTCGAAAAACTGGACAGTGACACGAAAGAATTCGACTTAGAAGAGGTAGATTTGAGATTGCCTCGATTTGAAATTAATACTAACATAGTTTTGAATAAACCATTAAATAAAATGGGTATATATGACATATTCAATCAAAACACAGCTAACTTTGATAAAATAACTACAGAAAAAATATATATCTCAACTATAGTACAAAAGGCTAAAATTGAAGTAACTGAAGTTGGTACGACGGCATCTGCTGATACGACGGCAAATATTCCCAATCGAATCACCACACCTCAGTTTATTGCTAATCGCCCATTCGTTTATTTTATTATCGAAAGAACTACAAGGACCGTATTATTTAATGGGATCTACTCAGAACCAATCTTGTTTTAAAATATTGTGAATTTCATAAAAGTGCTTCTTTAATAAAGCTTTACAGCTTGACTTTGGTTGGAGTTCACTTTCCCTTGAAATTGCTGATATATAAGTGCCTATATAATTAGCCAAGTTAATAAATTAAGTACACTCAGAGTATAATCATAATAAATTATTGAATATATTTCCTTAATTGCAATTTGTATGTCTCCGACTGAATAATAATGCTATGTTCCTTCGTCAACATGTTCTCAATTTTATACCCGACTGCGCGATGCAAAAGAGGGTAATGGGCAAGCAGTCGGTTTTTTTAATTTTTGTAAATATTATTTAAAACTTTTTAGTTTTGGTCAGTTTCTTTTAAGTTTAACTATTTTTTGTCCTAAATTGGTTTTAAGCATATAAGTTGTATTGTATACATATATATTTTATAATCGACTCGCAGCCTCGACTTAAAAAATGTATTTTAATGATTTACTCGATTGATCGGAAAAAAACAAATTTTTCAAGACACAAATAATCTCAAAAATCCAACATTTTGTTTTTTGGTAATATTTATGTAGCTTATAAATATAAATAGGTACTTACGTCATCAAGACAAATCTAACAACGTATGAAACATCAATATCAGTTAAGCCGTTTGGCACCTACGAGGGAACATAGGATCAGACATACAACATACATACATACATAGGTACAGATCAAACACATAACCCTCCTTTGGGCTTCGTCGCAGCCGAGATAAACCCAGCCGGCTTTGTTACTTATAGAAGAGATAAGACGAGGTGCTCCTTTTTATCATTTAAATGTATACTAATTTATAAGACCTCAATACAGGAACACTCGTGTGATACTTTGGGTTTCCTTTTTACATATAATGTACAATTTTTTTAAATACCCCATAACATTAATGTCTCCTGCAGCAATAATGTAGCTTTTTATTAACAATGAATTTTAGTACCTACTTCCAGAGTTTTCATCGTAACTCCTTACAATGTTTTTTATCAAATTGGTTAATATTGCTAACTTTCAAATATAGTGCCTCATATTTAATATGTAAGTAATACCTAGGCTACCGAGCTTCGCTCGGAGTTTTTGGCATAAAGTACAATTTTTTTTTAAACTATAAACTGGAATAAATATAAAAAAAACAAAAGTAAAAACTTTGTATGCGACCGAATTCGAACCAGGACACCTGTGATTGTTGATCTTACACCTTGGCCGCTTCACCACGATGCTTACACCATAGCGTGCAAATTACCAACCATACTTCGCGTGTAATAATGCCAAAGAAAACTGCATGAAAACTCGAAAACACGCGTTTTCTCAGACATAAGACTAATCTAGATCGATTTATCGCCCCCGAAACCCCCTATATACTAAATTTCATGAAAATCGTTGTAGCCGTTTCCGAGATTCAGATTATATATATATATATATATATATATATATATATATATATATATATATATATATATATACAAGAATTGCTCGTTTAGGGATATTAGATATTATATGTATATTAGTCTAGACAGACTTATAGAAATTCCATATAAAGGAAAGGCCCCTGGTCCATGCGTATAGAAGTTTACGAATATTAATTATTATAAATAAATTGTCATTTAAGAAATAATTCATAACATAGGGTTCCTGTTGGAGAACGTAAAAAAATTCATACAACTGTTATGTTACATATTATAATGTTCGCCCTGTGATCGAAATCCGACCATAATCATTTTTAAAGAGAATTTACATCCATATTTAATATTATAGATGTGAAAGTGTGTTTGTTTGTTTGTCCTCCTATCACGACGAAACGTAATGACAGATTGGCGTGATTTTTTGTGTCGAGATAGTTGGGGGGCTGGAGAGTGACATAGGCTAATTACGGACTCTAATTCCCACAGGAAAACACGCTATAATACAATCCAAAAAATATATATATGTTCATAATTACTTGTAACTTGGTATTAATGCTCTGCAATAAAATTAAATGTAAAGGTATTTCGGCATTTTTCAAAACTCATCCTCTACGGGGGTAAAATAGGGGATGAAAGTTTGTATGCATCTACCTTTTTAGAGATTTTTTGTAGTTTTAGCGCGAGCGAGCGTTTCTGGTAATATGTATAGGTATATATAAATAGAATTTACCTATCTATTATATATAATAAAACGAACGGTTTCCAAACATTTTTTATTGATAACACTAAAGCTCGTCAATAGCTACTAGAGGATAAAATGGTACTGAACTGTCTGTTTGCCTATTTAGTATTTATACAATACATACTAGCGGCTCCTCCGCCGTTTTATTCTATCCCTATTTTAACCCCTTTAGGAGATGATTTCCGGGATAAAACTATCCGGGATAATTCTATGTCATTCCCAGAGTTTCAAACTAATAACTATCATTTTACCAAATTACATCTAAATCGGTTCTGTAGATCCAGAGATTACCCCCTACAATCTCACAAACTTTATCTCTTTATAATATTAGTATAGACATATACGAGTACCTACCGCAAGAATTTTACTAATACTTGAGAGACACAGAACCATAATGTGTATTCAGCCCTTTTTAACGTCCCACTGCTGGGCACGAGCCTCCCTTCAGCACGAGGGGAATCAGGCCATAGTCCACCACGCTGGCCAAGTGCGGGTTGGCGGACTTCACATGTCTTTTGAAAACTTGCTAGGTTCTCTCAGACATGCATGCAGGTTTCCTCACGATGTTTTCCTTCACCGTTAAGACAAGTGGTAATCATGTTGGAAATGATTCGCACATGAAAATATCAGAGGTGCGAGACCTGGGATTTGAACTCACTTCATTTAGTTTCCCAAGCGAGCGCGTTACCACTGGGCTACCACTGCCACAGAACCATAATATAAAATTTAAATTATATACTTTTAGAAATATATTGTATACGAAATGTACTCCCATACTTTAGACTTAATTATAAGAAAAAATCTTTTATATCATATTTATACATATATTCTTTATCTCTCTATTTCTATTCTTTATATCTATATTTCTATTAATATTTATTTGTGTCTGACATCGAACATCTTACCTGAAAATTTCATCAATATCGCTCCAGCTGTTTCGAAGTCCATAGGAAACATACATACATACACACATCGATTTAATCAAAAATTTAAATTTATTTATTGCTCGGAAAACGGAGTCTTTTATGAAAATTTTAATAATTAACACATCGACTGCAGCGCCACCTACCGGTTCCATTCGTGAATTCAAACCTTGAAGGGACCCACTGGAACATACACAAAAAATATCATTAAAATCGTACCTGCCGTTTAGGAGATCATCAGTGGCACACCGACTGCAGCGCCACCTACTGGGTATTTTCTAATCTTACAGAGACCCCCTCGAACGTACACAAAAAATATCATTAAAATCGTCCCTGCCGTTTAGGAGATGATCAGTGGCATACCGACTGCAGCGCTACCTACGGGGTCCAATTGTGTTTACAAACTATCCAGGAGCCCATTGAAATATACACAAAATTGCATCCAAATCGGTCCAATCCTAAGTAAGGTAAGTAAGTAAGGTAGGTTAACAAACACACATACAGAAGAATTATATATTTTAAGATGTACACCTCACTTTAACTCGTCAGATAAGAGAGGCCAACTCTACAAAGGTCAAAGTAATTATATTCGAATGATATAATATAATACTGTATGGTTTTTCCAATTTAAATGAAAACAATCCAAATACTTAGCTATAAAGAACTTACTTTCAAACTTACGTTTCACTTCCTTTTACATAAGCTTTTTTCATTGTCCCTTATTTCCGGGATACAATGCCTTAAGTTTAAATTAAAAATACAGTCCCTAAAGTCCCTAAGGGATATTTCATTACAGGGTGTTATAATTTAATTACTATGGCAATAAGAATTTAAAAATATACCTTAGTTTCCTTGACGCTAATAAATTAAAAATAAAGTTATACATATTATCGAGTGAATATGAAAGAGACGTAAGCTGTGATGGGTAATAACGGGTTTGCCTTTGAATAACGCGCATTAGTATATAATATATCAGTAGCAGTGTTCGTACACAAGCGTAAACACGGAAAATGTTTAAAATACTGTTATTATTAATACCATTCGCTGCCTGTCAAGAAGTGGAATTCAGTACAAGACCAAACAATGTCAGTATACTTCTTTTATATTTCACGCAAAGATCAACGGAGACGGCAACGGTCTTGTCACCGTTCGGAATATGGAGCTTGATGGCGGGCATCTCGTACGGCGCTAGGGGTGATACGTACAGGGAGATTTTAAGAGCCTTTCTACTGTTTACTGACAAAGAAAGGTTTAGTACCAATTATAAAACTTTAATAGACACTGTGTTCAAAACACCCACAAGTGGAGTAGATATTTCTAATAATAATTTTATATTTATAGATGGAAATTTTAACTATGCAATGGAACGAGACTATAAAAATTTTTTAGCGCAAAATTTGGGTTCGTTAGTTTTGCCTTTTGACTTTGAAAACTTAACTAAAACTACAGATATAGCTAATAGACTAGTCAGTGTTATGTCGCGACCAGTCACAAACGTTTACACTATCGAAGATTTTAGAGGATCTTCGCTGGTGATGAGCAATATCGTGTACTTTCAAGGTGTCTGGTCCTTACCTTTTAATATTTCAAATACAAGGCTTGAATCGGTGAACGGTGGAGAAGAGAAAATCAACGTAATGTACCAGCGAGGAAAAGTTCCCTACAGTCATTTGGATTCGATGAAAGCTTCTGTAATGGAGTTAGCTTATGGCAAGGATGGAAAATACTGCATGTTGATCATAACTCCTGATCCAAACGTATCTTTGATTACAGTATATAAAAAATTTGAAACAATTACTTTCAGGGACATATTAAACAAACTTCAAAATGATGTAAATGAATTTGGATTGAAGGAAATTGATATAAAGTTGCCAAGATTCAGGAAATCATCTTACCATTATTTAAAAAAGCCGTTAAATGACATGGGTATTTATGAAGCCTTTGAGCCGCAATCAGCTCGTTTCCCATTAATAGCGAGGGAACCAATTTATATAGACGCGATAGAGCAAAAAACAGAGTTTTACATAAGTGAATTTGGTACGGTAGCGTACGCAAGCACTCCTGGACGAGGGAACAGTAGACAAGCTGCACAAGATATTGCACCATCTAACATGTTATTATTTGTATTAGAAAAGACTACAACCACTATTATTTTTGGAGGAATATTTCCTTAATACCTAAACTAATTATATAGTATTTTTAATTCTAATATTTATAGGATTGTATCTGGCTGACTATAAAAAGACCTATTTTTTTTCAAGATAATTCGTCGTTCGAGCTTAAAGACATAGAGAATGGACTGAACAATACTGTCATGCAATTGACCACTCTCTAGAAAGAGAGAAAACGAACGTGTGGCCAAACCTGTCTTTTATGCCAATTTTGGATTTATTGAATTTACAAATAGAATGTAAAAAAATTATGGAAAATTATAATATTATAATGGAAAGTAAAATGGCTATATATGTCTATCTTCACTAATCGTATTTTAGTGACTACAGAAGACTTCTGGCCGCACATTCGTTTCGTCTCTGTCACGCCTTTCCGACATTTTTAGCTTACGGCTGGCAAAGAAACATCAGTATGCGTAGCATTTCTATGCAGTTTGTGCACTCGTTCACTATCTATGTCTATGGTTATTGTGTAGCATTATTATTTAATGTTTTATTAGAATTTAATATAACAGAGAGCATTTAACGTTTTTACATAATAAGACTAAAACAATTCCTTTGAATAAACATTTAATATTCAGGTTACATTTTCTTTATGATCCTAGATAACTCTTTGCCTGCATAGTACTTAACTTTTTTTATATTTTAAATTATATGCTGCTAAGTCAAACTGCCAAGTAAGTAACACTTACGAATTTTTATATTTTTTTATTAATTCAAATAGAGCTTATCAGTATAAAACAACATATTATATTTTGAAATGATTATTATATCTACTAACTGTGAACTACAAAAACTGTAAACATTAAAACAAATATATTTGAAAAAATGCGCTAAACATAATAAGATTGAAAAAAAAACTGGTAACAATTACTTTATAATATTATTATATCACACTTTGGATGTTCTGTGCTATAATGTGACTATTATTAAAGACTTATTATAATTAATTAATGTAAACTTATTAAATAATTGTGTGGAAACTATTGTAATAAGACGTATAAGGCATGGATGACTAATAAAAGTATACTGTATAAGGGTCATATAACATAAGGGTCTGGAAATTGGAAAAGCAAAAAAATGTTTCAGCGTACATATTATAATATAATTGTGGAAGAGAGACATATTCAACCTCGCTTCGCTCGGGTTCATTCCTGGGGTATGTGTACAATTTCCCTATTTGAATCGGATATTAGATAAATAAATTATTGTCTTATTCGAAAAACATTATAATTACTATATTTTATTTCATTCAATTAATTGTTTGCCTTTGAAGAATTTGTAGTATACAACGCGATTCTTTATTATTTAGCTTTTAAGTGCACTAGTAAAGCACCAATTACTTAAATGCGGAAGAAACAAAGAGAGAGCTATTAAAATATTTTAATTTGCTTGTGAAAAAATCATGCTACACGTATCCGATGTTTTAACTTTTATTTGTCATCATGGTTAATACCTCGTCTGTCGATCGACCTTTTAAAGGTCGATGTCAAAAACACCCCTGTCTGTCAAGCGACCTTTTAAAGGTCGATTGGTCCCGATGTCATTTAATGTGTGATTTCTCGCATTTAAACTATATTTATTTTTATCTAACTTTTGTAACGTGTAAAGAAAAATACAAGCAATAATATCATACTACATGTCAAAAAAGTAATAACTCCAATAACATAAATTATTGTAATTTGTGCAGACAATTTATTTAAATTTTGGCGATCTTTGAACTCAATACTTGTGAGTAAAAAATTAACAAAATAGTGTAAAATTATTAGTATAAGGATTGGAATATGATGGAAGGGTAAGTAATTAACAGTTTTTATTTCATAGGATGTGTATTGAATAGAGATTTTATACAGAAATTGTTATATTTGTCAAATATCGTAAGCATTCACGCGCGCTTATTCCGTATATTTTCACTTTTTCTGAATAAAAAATACACTAGTGATAGCATAATATTTTTATTAACATGATTTAAATTTATAACCAAATAACTACGTATAATTGAATTTGTAAATTTTCTATTAGATTTTAAGTAATTAATAATATAATAACACGTAACCCAAATTCGAGCCGCCATTTTTGACGGCTGTTGGATAGTATGGGGAAGGCTTTTTTAATATTCATTAGAATATTTTCATTGTTGTTTTTTAGGATTATTTGAAATTTAATATTTTATAAATATTTTAACTGTTTTTCTAAAAAAAAATTGAATTTTTTAAAACAGTACGATTTTTATTTTACAGATATAAGTTCAACTTACACATTACTTTAAAACATTATAAAAATAAAAAAAACCTAACTGCATAACAGCTAACTAAAAAGATAAAAACAAGTTGACGAAGGAATGAAGTATTATGCAGTTGGTGACATACACATGTACATCTCGCGACAAGGATGAAATGTATTTTTTTATTTACAGCTTTTTAATTTTATTAGAAATTTGAAGTTATAATAGGTCTTTTGAAATTGCCGTTCTACAATACTTACTGGCCATTGGAAACGTAATTTATGATTGGCCGGCAATAAATTCTAAATTCAAATAAATTTTATTTTAAAAGTATGGAGTTCTATTTTTGAATTCAGTCGTTTGTTTATTAATTAGTGTTTTGTTTTCACTACATTTGTTTGTTCTTCGTCAATATTACAAAATATACAATAAAATACGAGTAATTATGAAATACGAGTTCCATCGCGGTAGCAATCCCGCACAAACGGCTCGCAACATTAATGACGCGTACGGAGTGCCGAGTGAACACTACAAACGAACGCACAACTCGTTATTGGTCTGAACACTTCCAACATCGAACTTTTGATCTTAAAAAATTAACCCCGTGGTCGCCCGAAAACTAAAATCAGTAACGACGCATAAAAGGCGATAGTGGAAGCTGACGATACTCAATCTGTGGCTGAGATAGCAGCAGCTTTCAACGTTAGCATCAAAACAATATTGGTCCATTTGCATCAAATTGCATCAATAGCATGGGTGCATATTTTGATTAATAGAAATGAAAAATATTTATAAAAATACAATACTTTAACTTTCTGTATATTAAACGACAATTTCATAGGTAAAGACTTAATATTTAGCAATTTCTTATCCCAAATTACCTTTAAACGTGTAAGTTGTGTTCTCTTAATTTTTTTTGTGATCAGCAAAAATCTTTATTTTAAGAGCCCATTCGATTGATTTGGAAATTTTTTTTACAGACAAATTGGCGCCTGATATCCGCCATTTTACTTTTTAACTATTTTTAATTTTTAACTATAACGCGAGTATTATAGGCTATATATAGCTTATGACACTCGCGTAAATACGAAACTAACGACATATGAATCATAGAAATCGGCCCACGCGTTTGGTCTCTAGAGTGTCATACATACATATGTACATACATACATACATAGACTGATTACCCTCCTTTGCGTCGCGCAGTCGGGTAAAAAATAAGTTTATTTGAATCTCTTAAACTAGTATCATGTTGCATTTTATGTTTATTGAAGCTGCACCAAAATTTCTTAAAACATGCCTTATTAGATTACAATATTATGATCGGAGGGTGAACAAGAAAGTCCAATTGTAGCCAATGTACCCCATAGAGCGAAAGCGAACAAGGGTGTTGTATAAATAACTGTTTATTAAAAAAAAACCGACTTCCAGGCACTAAAATGTAAAAAATAGCTAAACGGAGGTTTTCATTTAGAATAGATACCTAATCAGATATTTTCGAAGTCGGTGCCAGCCGACAATATTTTAAGATATAAATATCTAATACGTAAATATGAATTTTATGTATCGTAATATATTAGATTTACTTTGCATCAGCTGGAGCTGACTTCGAAAATATCTGATTTATATATTATACCACGCCTTTGTTCGTTTCGACGACGTGACTGAACATCGAAGACGTGGTGAACATTATATGGGAGGAGGTTAGTATAGTTACTTATGTATCTTTACTTAGTAATAATTAGTATTTGTTGCTTTTAGGATAGGTGTTCATCTTTTTTTTTCATTTAAAATAAATATGTATAAAAGCCTCTACCTGCAAGCAATATTCATTAAAAAGTGTCCTTTACCTAACAAAAGGCATCCAAAATTTTCTACTTCAGATTTAAAACATCTCTGAGTACTAATTACAAAGTTTTTATACTCTACTATATTTTTTTTACTAATATAACTATGGAATCCATCAAATACTCAATACAGTAACTGGCACAATACTTCAATCTTATAAAATATAAATGAAAAATTTAAAAGTAACCCCGACATGTAATTCACCATTTTGTGGTGGCGACCATCTTGGATTCGAAAATTATACTAGTCAAGCCTAATTCATTTGATACCCATATTGAGGGAGTTGTGAAAAAATATGTAATCCGCTATTTTGTGGCGGCGGCCATCTTGGACCGATTTTCATCAAACATAGCTAAGAACACTTCCGAATTATTCACCTTTCAGAGAAAAAACAAAAAATAAATCGGATGATCTCTTCGGGAGCTACCATACCACAGACAGACACACACACAACACACAGCACGTCAAACAAATAACTCCCCGTAGTTTTTGCGTCGGAGGTTAAAAACAGTAGAAAAAAAAAATTCCTCTCCGAATTAATATTTAAAGTTGTTTTATTTTGAATTGATGTTTTATTATCATTTTATTTCCATAACATAATCTGTTCAGATGTGATGGAATTGGTCGTATCCATACTTTTTTAGCTGTCCCTTGTAATTCTTATAGTAAAATTGTTAGTTTACAGAATTGATTTCTGAAATATTCTAATAAGGCAACATGTCTTTTTATTATATTTTTCATTTTGAAATATCACTTAATTGTAAGGTGTAAATATATTTTAAAGAAAATTTAAACAGAATTTGCTCTGCGATCCAAAGTTTGAGATGACATTTTTTAGCACTTATTTTCTAGTGTTTGGTTTATTGTTCAATTCTCGTAAACTAAATAGTTATAAGAACTCAAACTTTGTCAGTATAACGTACGTGGACTAAACTATAATATAAATGATTATCCTAAATCTCTTGATCTTCAATGCTCTTAGAATTCAAGTATAAAAAACACCTCTTTTTTTATCCGGCGCTAAGTCGCCATAATTGACACATGTTATTGTTAAGCTTGTGGTGTAAAAAATTTTTACTGTGAGTTGTGTTGTTTTAATCAATTAATATAAAATATTGTATCTATAATTAAATGAAATTAAAAGTTTTTAAAATAATAGTTTTATTTTATAATAATTCCTGTTTTCATGCTATATACTGATAAAAAATCACTTACAGTAATTTCAACTTAGAATTAACTATATAATATTAAATACAATTGATCTTATTTATATATATATTCTTAGTTTATTTTAAAACGATTCTAACTATATAAGCTTTATATATAGCTTATATATAAAATTTTAATAAATATTGTTATTTTAATGATGCGTACATATTTCGCGCAGGCCCTCGAAAAGTAGCCGACAGATGCGCCATATTTTTGTAAAATGACAGCGACAGTTGAGGGGTTAACTCACATGTAAATTTATGTCAAAATCGAAATAGATTTGTCAAATTGCTAATGTCAAGTTTCAAATTTATGGGAAGACCCGAAATAGTTATAATATTATAAATCTATTTTATAAATTAAATTGTGAAGTTTTATTATGTAACAACGTTACTAACAATTATATATATTGATTTAAAATATTGAAGCTTAATCTAGCTAACCTGTGCATATTATGTTTCGAAGAAAAAGTGACTTACAGGTTATGTTTTAAAAATATTAGCAAAAATGCTTATTAGAAATTATTTGATAGCGGAAGCTAATCCTATTAAAAGGTTTCTTCTTTTAAAACACAATAGCTATCAAACCAAAGAACATATTAGAACAATTAAAGGTATGTTTTTTAATTTTATGTTGATCACGATTCCTTAAAAAATATTTTTGATAATATAGACAACAAAGTAGATATTGTAAATTATGGCTTAACGTAATTTAATATTAAAATACAGATTTTGTTTCCCAAATAATTTATTTCTAAAAAAATACAATTTTGAGCAACTTACCTAGACTTTGTATATTTTTTAAATATTGTTGATAGGAAGGAGACAACCATTATGCATGCGTGCATTTTACAATTAAATAAATATTTTTTGGAGTTAATTATGAGGTAGTAGTGTGTCACCCATGCTTCGCTTCGAGTTCCTCCCTAGTCTAAAACAAATTTATCTCATGGAAATTGTACATTTTTTCGGGATAAAAAGAAACCTGTATGCTATTCCATACTATAATCTATCTGTGTGCCATTTTGTCCAGAACTGTTCAGCCATTCTAGTGTGAAAGAGTAACAAAAATCCATCCATCCTCACAAACTCACATTTATAATATTAGTATGGATTTACTTTAAAATAAAATTTCAAGCTTTGTTTAATAACAATATGATCAATTGGAATGAGATTAATTTTTAATATCTTAAAATATTACACCGTATTATGTTTGCTAATGTAAAAAAGAACCAAATATGCAATATCTATACTAAAATTATAATGAGGTAAAGTTTGTGAGTTTGTGACGTTGTAGGGGGTCATCTCTGCATCTACTGAACTAATTTAGATGAATTTTGGTAAGAAGATAATTTGAGACCCTGGAAAGGACATAAAATGCATTTTATTCCAAAAAACATCCCTGAAAAGAAGCAAGCTAGGGATGAACCCGAGCGAAGCGAGGGTGTGTCTAGTCAAACAATATAAATTGAAAATACATTTTTAAAAACAGGTGATAATTATTCTATGATGCTTATACATTTCACCAGCTACAATATAAAACTTCATTTATTAACTAGATAGAGTACTGTAAATATACCTAATACTTTTCTATTAGATTTATCTGAATATTTGACATTTTAAATAAAAGAAGTGGTGGAAGTGGAAGAGGAACAATCATCCATCCATTCCAACAAACTTTCATGTTTATAATATTAGTCTTTAACTTTCATATTTATGCTATATATATATATATATATTAAAATAAAAAAAAATCATGTCAAATATTATGAACTTTTATGTAAATAATTTTAAATATTATTTATATATAATTTCAGGAGTTAACTTCAGAATCTGCAACACAACCTACAATCATTTTAATAAATTGAGTTCAGTTATAGTGCTTCAAAATAAATACCGTGCAAGGACATATTCAAAAGGAATTGTTAATGAAGATATTTTCAAAGGAAAAAGCATTGAAAGTGAAAATGGTAAGAATCTCAAAATACTTTACATACTATATTAATAACCTTAAATAAATATTTTGTCAGGGTTTTGTTTGAAATTCATTAAGAAATAATTCAATATTAAGACAGTATTTTATTAGATTTTTGTGTTTAATTTTTATATAGTTTCTCTCTATACTCACAAATAAGTATCAATTTTTTTTTTTGGTTATCAATATGAAATAAATAATAATCATAAGCTTAATCTAAAAGTACTTATTAGTAAGAAACCCTAAAAAAAAGAGTTCCAGACTTTCACTCTCTCTTTAAAATTTTAACTTGATTTTCATCAATTATTTGATGAACGAAGCAGTATTTACATATATACATTGGTGAAAATCCCAAAGATAATAAGAAAGGATATTGGAGCGAAAATTAGAAAATAAAAAATTGTTGCAGTTAACAGTTTTTGCAATGAGCCTTTTCTAGTTTTAATCTTATATTTAAATGTTTATTAAAGACCAGCAGTCAATAATTAAAGATGGATCAGATTTGATTCATTGTTGGTTATAAACATACAGCCTTATATATTAATATTTATGTGTAGTTCAAAAAGTAATGTTTTTTTAAGCACTAGAACTGCTTATTTATATGCAATCAGCTTTGTGAACAACAAATTTTCAAGTCTTTAAATCAAATTCCTACCAGGTGAACGTATTGTTTATCGGACTTTCAGTCTGTTTGGCAACTTATTTGCATTTAAAAATAGTAGCAAAAACTTGTTTTGTCAGAGATCAAAATAAATTTTGAGTAACTTGCACTATTTTGAACTAAATTGATATATACTTAGCACCTTACAAGCCGTAGAAAAAAGAGATCATTATAATTGTCTTGACAGAAAAGAGTACCAGGATTTTTAGGGAAAAGCGGTTATGTAAATAGGTTATTAATATTTCTGTACTATCTTACTTAAATGCTGTGATATTTATGGGAAAATAGTACCAAAAATTACTGTTCTTGTTGTTTTTTCTAATATAAACAAAATACATGGAGGAATGACTTGATCAGTAACAGGTTCTAAAACTTTTACTGGAGTTGTCGCAAATGCTACTGTACCTGATTCAGTCAACATTATAGAAGCACTTTGTTCTAAATTTTCTATATAAAAAGATTCATTTACCATTTTATCAAAACGAGCATAATCTGGTTCGAAGGCTTGGTAGATACCCATATCGTTCAAAGACTTATTGAGAACAATATTTGATAATTTTCTGAATTTTGGTAACTTGACATCGATTTCCTTTAATCCAAATTTATCAACATCACTCTGTAGTTTTGCAAAAATGTCGGTAAATGTGACTTTGTCTAAAGTAGCAATAATTTTTCTTACTATATCCATATGTCAGTTCCATTACTGTCGCTTTCATTGATTCTATATGACTGTAAGGTACTTTATCGCGTTTGTACATCATTTCAATCTCTTGTTCTCCTATTTTTTCACGTCTTGTATCAGAAGGGTCGAATCGGAAAGACCAAAATCATTTAAAGTATATAACGTTGCTCATTAAAATGAGTGAATCTACAAAAGTATTAGGATAAAAAAATCCTGGAACCTCAGACGCATTTTTAAAAATCCGTGCATTAGCTTTCTGAGCAGCGGATTGCGAATCTAGGAAATCCAATGACATAAATATTGTGTCGTACGTGTAAGTTAACATGTAACGGAAATCTTTTTCTATAGACGCCTCCAAACTATCGTCCACAAAGTAAAAGTTACGATTCATAGCACGCACTCCGCCTTCATCATGATTAAGCACTTCGTTTTTAAACCGTTCGTATTCTTTATTGAATTTATTACGGTTTGAATTTATTGCGAAAGCTCTGAAGATCTCTGTCTGTGTATCTCCTACGGCGCCATACGATAGACCAGCCATCAAACTCCAAATACCGATAGGGGCTAGAACTATAGGTTTATTTACGGCTACTTGGGTAAAATGTAAGAGGATTATACTTATGTTAGTAGACCTTGAACTGAACTCAATTCCATGACATGTAGCGAGAATAAAGAATAAATATATAATCAATATTTTTCCTGTTGCCATCTTCGAGATCTTGAATCAACTGAGTATTATTAAATATATACGACCTTAACTACGTATTTTTAAAAGAAACTAGTATTTCATGTTCGCTATATTATATAGGTAGGTACGTAATTCTTTTACGCAACGTTCAAATTTTACTGAGCTATATTTGTACGTTGGGATATTTCGTGTGTCCAGATTTTTAACAATTAATGAAAAATGATAATCAAATTATTCGCTTAAATTCTTAGATCCAGTTGTTAGCTACTTTGCCTTACTGATTATTTGGCCACTTAATAATGACATAACCTATAGGTACTTTACAAATAAATTCAAAATATATTAGCACTAGAATTTCAATTCTAAGTCAAGATCAAAACATAAAAAGAACTTTTATTTTAAAAGTTAAAGGAAAGGTCTAATTCTATAAAATTCGTAGTTTCATTTTTGATATACTCTGAACTTGTAAACTTACCGCTCAAATTAAAAAAAAACTACTGGAGGTACTTTTTTCTAAAATAACTTCTCTACAGCGCTACTCAGGTTAAAAATATTGAATTTAAATAATATGTCGGGACATTAACACTCAGCACCATCTAGTTCCGTGGTAAGCTACGAGGCTTGTGCTGTGGATACCAGATAGTTGATACACTACACATATACATATAACTTTAAATACATATATATTATAAATATATACACCCATGGCTTGAGTACAAACATTCGTGCTCATCACACAAAAAGTATCACAAACTAATAAGCATGTTTGAGAGAACCTAAGAAAGTTTTTGAAAGATTCAGAAGGCATGATCCCACTCGTACTAAGTTAGCCCCGTGCCCAGAAGTGGGACATTAAAAAGGGATGAATATTTATACAATACCATATATAATATATTCAATTTAATTTCAGATATAAATGAAATTAAGGAACTTTTTACACAACCTCGAGTGACGTTGAACGAATTCGCATCAAAATTGCAGGAGAAATCTTTTGATATTCACTACAAACAAACAGTCGTCACCCCTAAGGGTGGCAAGAAAAGGGCCGTACAGAATGATTGGACTTGCACCTACACATTTATATGGCCGGAGAAAATTAAATTTGAAAGGTATTATGTGTAATTTATCTCGTAAGTATTTTATTATATTTTTAATTATTAATTCTGTTAAAATATTTTATTATTATTGTATTTTTTTTACATAATTGAATTTTAAATGACTTCCCGATTTGAACTTAATTTATGTTACAAATATTGTTAATGTTTTTTTAGTAATGATGTTTTGTTTATATTATATTACTTACGTCTTACCCTCGCTTCGCTCGAGCGCGTTTTTGAGCGAAAGCCTAATTCTTTTTCTAAAATAAAAATAGCCTAAGTTACTCCTTATAACATCAGCTATCTGCCAGTGAAAGTATTTATTTTCGCGTATTTATTTTGATTTTTGGTTCCCGACGTTTCGAATGCTTTACAGCAATCATCCTTTTTAACCATCATTTTTTATCATTTTTTTTAGCACAGCAATATCGAAACGACAAGCAGCTGAAAAGTCAGCACTTCAAGCGCTTCATTGGCTTTATAAAAATAATAAAATAGATAAAACAGGTAGTCCCGTCTACGACAGGACGGTTTTAAAGGAAATTCAGAGTTCACTTAACAAAGACTTATATGTGACTATTGGCGAAAATTCTATGGAAAGAGTAAACAGAATATGGAGCGATTATGAAAGTGACATTAGTGAGTGTTTTTTTTTCAGTTTGTATATTTTTTGTATATTTGGCTGTTTATTTAATTCTTCTTTTTGGTAGACTATTAAGTTTTTTTTCATAGTTAAATGTATAATGATTTTGATAGAAATATTTATTCTTTTATTGAAGTGAAACTTCTTTAGAATCGTTGTGATTTGAAACTCGATGAAACGGAAATGCGAAACTAAAAAGAGACAAATACATAAATATATAGGATTAAGCCGGCGAGAGAATGAGATATAGAATATATTGTCATGTTGCCATGGTAACGGTTGTTATTGTCTGACAAATATATAATATTATATTCTATTTAATTAATGATTTGTTTTAATTTTTTGTGATAATTGCCAAAGAAGTTTCACTTCTCTGTGACTGAATTGCATACACAAACACTTTTTTTTATTTTAACATGATATTTCAATAAAGAGTAGCCAATGTGTTAAACCAGTATATAATATAGATTATATAATATTCCTTCTAAATTTCTTTAAAATCTGTTCAGCTGTTACAGCCTAAACAAGTAACAAACACACATACACTCACAAACCCTCTAATTTATAATATTAGTAGGATAAACTTATCACTGTCTTATCTAAGGATTGTATTGAGTGGGTTCCAACAAAAAACAAATTAAATTAACGTACTTAATACTTTAGTTATGTCATATTAAATAATAATTTGTTATTTTATAATTATATCGGTCTTTGGTTTCGTTATTTAAATATAACTAGCATAACCCGCAGCTTCGCTCGCGCTAAAATCTCTAAAAAAGTAGTTTCATACAAACTTTTATCCCCCATTTTACCCCCTTATAGGATGAATTTCAAGAAATGCTGAAACACGTCTTTATTTAATTTCATTGAAGAGCATTAATACAAAGTTTCAAGTAATTCTGATCATAAATATTTTTTTGGATTGTATTATAACGTAGTTTCCCGTGGGAATTAAATAATCTCCCGCGGTAACAAGTAGCTTATGTCACTCTCCAACCCTTCCACTAGCTCCACACAAAAAGCATGCCAATCCGTCACTCGGTTTCGACGTGAAAGATGGACAAACAAACAAACACACACATTTTCACATTTATAATATTAGAATGGTTTTTCCTAATCTAATTTATTTTTCAGAAAAAATATACGATATTACATTTAAAGAAGCAAGCCAGAAGCTATCAGCAAATATACCAAATGTCATGAAAAATGACTCGACTATTGATGAAGAAGGTTAGTGGTTATAATTAACTATTGTTTTCTGTACGTAGTTCGATTATATATTGCTATATATTTAAAAATTATAATCTATGTGTTACTCTGATGTATGAGCTATATTTTTGTAAAGTTTCATCAAAATCCCTTCAGTAATTTTTGCGTGAGAGTAACAAACATCCACCCATCCTCAAAGTTTCGCGTTTATCATAATAATAGGACTTGCGATTTATCCTAGCATCGCTTGAGTTCGTCTCTAGGTACAAAATATAACATGTAAATATATTATATAATTATACTAGCCCGACTAACCCCAATACTTTGCCACATCATTTGAGTAATTCCAATTAAACAATCTTAATGGATTTCTTCGCGGATTTATTTTGATTTTCGGTTTCCTACGCTAATCATTTTATAATTTTGTATTTTGTATTTACAATGACCTTTAAGACGTCTCAAACTTTAAGTCTCTCCTGTGACCATGATTGCTGTAAAGCATTCGAAACGTCGGGAACCGAAAATCTAAACAAATCCACGAAAAAATCCCAAAAAGATAGTTTTATTTAAATTCAGTTCTTTTATGAGGTTTTTAAGCATAATTCTCTATTGGTTATTGATAAGAGATATTAATACTATATATAATTATCAATATATATGTAATTCGCAGTATATTAAAGGTATTAAATAATAAAGCCTATTTTGTTACAGACTTTTCAAATGAAGAAATATCTCAGAATGGATCAGAGAAAATGGAAGAATTCAATGGTTATTTTTTTTTTATTTATTCTTATGAATCATAAATTTTCTGGATGAAAATAAAAAACTCAAAATCGATTAAATTAAAATAATATTGTCGTAAATAAATTTACAACGATTTATTCGGAATACGAAATTTGATATAATTTGTATGGAGCTTAATAATATGTCAAATACATATCTCTAGTAAGGAACATTACAGAATCTGTATAAATACATATATCTGACTAGCGTTGCGCGCGGCTCCGCCCGCGTTCAGATGACCAAAAACTACCAATATTAGTATACTCTTACATTGCAGTTTTTGTATTTTTTCTCAGAAATGAGATATTTTCCCGCGTTAAAAAGTATCCTATATGTTGACCCGAATAACCAGCTATCACCATACCGAATTTCATCAAAATCTCTTGAGTGGGTTTTCTGTGATGAGGTAACAGACAGACAGACAGACGAAAATTCTAAAAACTATAGATTCGGCCTTTGTATCGATAATAATAAGATTTTCCAAAAAAATATTTATTGCACAGATTCGGCTTAGTTACAATTTTATTATATGTATAGATATATTCTGGCCCAATTAACTAAAGAGACTTCATAGACAAAGTACTATCATGTCAATTTAAACTGATAATGGCAGAGCTAGTGATGTCATTCACTTGTTAAAGTTATCGAATAAATCGGTTTATCATTTATTATCAATAAGTAAAATTACAAATAAACGCTTAATAATTGTGAATTTAAAACTAAAAATTAATTTTAGATATATAATATTAAGGGTAATAATTATAGATAGATAGGTTATACCATAGCCTAAAGTCAAAAACGGGACCATTCGCCATGTCTATCCGTTTGTATCACACGTAGACAATTTTACACACAAAATACAAATAGGGTTTTCATTCCATACATAGATATATAAAAAGTATATATATAATATAAGGATAAATCCACAATTTTGATATACGATAATTAATCTGTGACTACATCAAGCTGTCAAGAGTCTTTGACAAGTTGACTTTACTTTTTTCTCGAGCTGGCGCGATATACGAATCGGTGTAGAATTGTATTCACAAACCAGAAATTAATACAAGTGCTTAAAACTAAATAAATAATTGTCAGATTTATGTAAATAAGTTTCTACTATTGTTCTTTTGTGTTTATAATATATATATATATATATATATATATATATATATATATATATATATATATATTGTTTAGTCCGCTTAAGTATATTTTGCATAAATCTTTATTAAGGTAACAAAATAATTTTAAAACATAAATTACATGTTTCATACTACCGTTAGTGTGTGTAAGACTCACACTTGACCATATTTTTTGTTCACATTTATTGTGTTTTACAGATTTCAAAACAAAAATACATCCCGTTTTTGGAAAACCAATAACAACTTCCACATCGGCGTTGATGAAACGTGAAAGAATTCTCAAACAGACATTCCTCAGCTATGACGAAGCCTTAACACCTTTGCCAATAGACCAATATGCGTAAGAGTGTATATATGTTTTTATTTATAAACTAACGACTCACCCTCGCTCAGCTCGGGTTCGTCCCTAGTTATGTTTTAACGTTTAGTATAGATTTCTCAGAGATGAGATATTTTCCCGCAGTAATAAGTATCCCATATCTTGACCCGGATAATTAGCTATCATCATACCAAATTTCATCATAATCCCTCCAGTTACAATTATAGTTCGGCTTACTTACAATTTTATTATATGTAGGTATAGATTTAACTAAACGGTTACCCATCTATTGGGTGCCGCAGACGCAATTGCTTAATTTTGAAGGTATATAAGAATTTTTCAGCATTTATTACATAATACTATACTAGTTCAGATGATCTATTCTATACAATAATTTGACAAAATTGGATAGCCTTTATTTTGGACTATTCTTCGGTTTTTTTTTCTTATATTGACGATAGATGGCGTTGTTCCGCAAGCTATCAAACTATTTTATTTCTTTAGACGTACGTACTAAAATGTGTAAAATATAGCAAAAATCTTTTTGATTTTATACAACAAACGTCCAGTCTTTTAAACGGATTTAAACCTTGATAAATAACTTATATATGTAAATAGCGCCATCTATGAATGAGAAATACAATGTCAATACGTAATATGTGATTCTTAATAATAAGTTAAATTATAAAACTACTAGCTACTTAGTACTCACCCTCGTTTCACAGGTTCGTTCCTAGTGAAAATTAAAATAAATGTATCCCACGGGAACTGTACATTTTTCCAGAATAAAAAGTAACCTATGTGCTATTCCAGACTATAATCTATCTTTGTGTCTTTCATTCAGATCCGTTGAGCCGTTCTGGTGTAATTAACAAACATCCATCCAAACTTTCTCATTTATGATATTAATGGGATGATATAAGAAAACACTATTTCAATTACCTTTACTAAAATTATTTTATAAAACCAGAGTGTATCATTTAGGGGTCTATTTTTCCTTTTATTCATTTTACTCGAGCATCAATAATAAAATACGTATAATCAATCGAGTGGCGTATCAAAATACAGATATTTAAGAGACAAATAAAAAATATTTAAAACTAGCGGCTCACCCTCGCTTCGTACGGGTTCTGTAGAAAAACAAAAAAAATCTCCCTCGGGAACCGTCCATTTTTCCGGAATAAAAGTACCTAGCCTATGTGTTTCTGATGTATGGAGCTATGTTATTGGAAAGTTTCATTAAAATCCATTCAGTAGTTTTTGCGTGAAAGAGTAACAAACAATCCATACGTCTATACATCCAGACATCCTCACAAACTTTTGCATTTATAAAATATAATTTAGTAGGACATATCTGGGGGCACGGCAGTGTCAAAGTGGCAAAATGAACCCGTTATCTAGTAACTAGCAGCACATATATCACCATTGTACCGTAACAGATAATAGAATCTTAACATCAAATCCCTTCTGACCTCATGGCCTCTTTGTTCACCTGACCTCAATCCCTAACCTTCTGACCTTACTGACCTTTGGTGTCCTTGAACGTAGAAACGACCCGAGCGCGACCTTAAAGTATCATAACTAGGGATTCAGGTCACAAAAGTGACCCAATAATCTTGGTTTAAGCGACTCTCGCATTAGTCTGAAATAATAGGAAATGAATTTGATGACACGTTTGCCTCAGTTTGTAATGTAAGTGCTGTGCCAACAGTCGCGGGTTCGAGTCCCGTTGGAGGCATTAATTTGTTTGATGAGTAGAATGTTTGTACACAAGCCTCGTAGCTTACGGTAGAACTAAATGGTGCTGTGTGTTAATGTCTTAATATATTTATATTTATAATGGTGTGTTTTTATAGAAATTTTAAATATAAACTATTGACTTAATATGGTAGCGTAAAGTACAAAGAGATCGATCTTTATTAGTTTGTAATAAAACAACCGATTGGACATAATTGAGTATTAAAATAACCGGCACTATTAATTTAAATACAATTTTGACTACGTTTGCACATACAAATGTATATGATATGTGTATATATATATATACGTGTAAAGTTTATACAAGATTTTCTAACAAAAATTGAACCTGTAATATACAACTAGAAAACACTGACCGTACTTTCAAAGTACAAGGCTATAAACGTATATTATTTTAATATTATAAAGACCTGGTTTCGTGACCTCAAATGTCCTTGTACTCTTTGTACTGACCTAAACTTAACCTCGAAATAAAAGTAGGTATGTCGGTAACCTCATTGTCCCATATCGACAATCATACAAGGTAGTGAATCGATACAGCGGCCTTTCAATTGAACGATATAATGTTATTCTACAATAGCTATCGACAATAAATAACTAAAAATATGTAGATTGTAGATATATGACATTTTTCTATATTTTTTCTTTAAGCGACAACGATTGTAGATAGTCTTGTGTTTTAATTCATGAAATTTAAACTCGATTATGATATAATATTAAGTAATAATACCTAAAAACCTGCAAATGAAACCGAAAGTGTTATAAAAAGCGAAAACAAACGAAACGAAAACGTTTGAAAGCCGATTTTCGAGCGAGAGAGCGGCATCGCGACCTCTATTCAACATTTAGAGTCACACTGACCCAGATAAATGGAAATTCGTTGAAAGTATTCAATTTGCAGAGCGATACTGCACTATCTATTAAATTTGCTGGCAATATGAAATACTAATCTACACTACTATAGATAAATATATAAAGAAGAAAGATTTGTATTTTTGTATGATTGTAACGAATAAACTTAAAAACTACTCGACCGATTTACATTAAATTTGGTAAGAAGATAGTTTGAGATCCTGGGAAGGATACTGGATATTTTTTATCCCGGAAATCATCCCTTAAGGGGGTGAAAATGGGGATGAAAGTTTTTATGGGGAATTAAATTCATCGCTAATAATATATAAAAAACAAAAAATAACATGTTTATATCTAAAGTCATTAGATATTATGATTATTATGAGTACCAGTTAATAGATAATAATATATTTTTAATTGGTTAGCCAATTAGGGAAACGTAGTCCTTGTTTAGTAATTATTTTTAAATGGTTCAAACTTTAGCTATATAATAGCTTTTCGCAAATTCGATTATCAAGAAAAGTATGTAGCTAGAAAAATACAAATGTACAGTTACCCGTTATTGTGTATCATACAAAAATACAACTCTTTCCTCTTTAAAATATTAGTGTAGACTAAATATAATTTTTTTTAATCTATTACTTTTTTTTATTTATTACTAAATGCAAACAAGTATTCTGTTGTAAACGTACGATAATATTTTATTATAAAAAAAAATGTTAAGGGTTTTCTTTATATAGTAACTTTTATTGGTCGCCCAGTTTTTTAATGAAAGTACAAGTGTTATCGAAAGTGTTTCACTTTTGCTATGTGACGTTTGCGAATGAAACTTCAAATCGTCATGTGACGTGTGGCTGTCGCTTTCGTTGAATCGCAGGTCGAATGACGTCAGTCAGCGAAGTATTCATTTCATTAAGACAGTTTTAGCTTTCAATTCTAGTTCCTTCAGTCAAAAATTATTGAGTACAAAAGTATATTTCTTTCTTTCTGAGAATATAGCAAGAAGCTATTTTTTTATTATAAACTAGCGGCTTACCCCCGCTTCGCTCGGGTTCGCCTCTAGAAATATAAAAACAAATCTATCCAATGGGAATCGGCCATTTTCGGGGATAAATAAGTAGCCTGTGTTGTTATTCTGACGTATGAGCTGTATTACTGTAAAGTTTCAGTAGTTTTTGCGTGAAAGAGTAACAAACATCCATACATCTATACATCCAGACATCCATACATCCTTACAAACTTTCGCATTTATAATATGAGTATACCCTATATATTTTATAATATTTACATTGGATATCATAAAAGCGTTTGAACAATTAAAATAGAACTTGTAGTAAAGTTTATATTCAAATTATACATATATTTTTGTAAGAAATATAAATTATACTTCGATTATAAAAATATATTTAAGTATCTCTTAATGAGTTGGTGACGCGCAAACGACGTCACGCGAAAAACCCGAGTATAAACGATTCAAATAAACCTACGTAATTTGCGTCACGTATTTTACTCTCGCTTTCAAATAGAAAGCTTCTGACGTAAATGTGTCGACGCTGTCAGTGCAGTTGTCAGTGTCATAAGTCATTTCTAAATCACAGATAAATAACGTTTGCTTATGAGATAAGAATCTAAGGTGACATTAGAAAAATGATGTATTCATACAATATACATACATACATACATACATATATGATCGTTGCAGTAAATTAGAATTATTCTACTACATTTTAAAAAGAAATTAAATTATGTACTTATGTATATAATTATATTTACGTTTTTTAATATCTTATATTTTTTGCATATGTACATATCTGTCAAAAAGTAATCCCATCACCCCATCCTATTGTAATATAAATGCGAATGTTTGAATGTATGGTTGTTACTCTTTCTATATGAAAAAAGTACGGTTCCCGTGGGATAAATTTGTTTTTGTTTTCAGCTAGTAATAAATATATTTTGAAATTTTTGTTTTGTAGTATTTCTTTTAGTATTAACTCTTAACACTTTCTCTTACAAAACGTGCAACACAAGCGCTTTGTCTTAACAAAAGCAAACCTTATATGATTCGATAAATATTAGCAACTATGCCAATGAGACGCCATATTTGATGACAATACTTCGTAGACAAAAAGAAATTGCTATACTTAACTGAATCGTCAACATCCTGACCATATTACAAAACCCAATATATGTAATCAATTTTTGTCACCGTATTATTAAACAGATATGGCTAAGGTCTAAAAAATGCTTCTATGAAATCTAAACCTTCGAGTTTAAAGTGTAGCAATTTTATAAGGACAATATTATTTTTCTAACCAGTTTGACTTCAAACTTGTTTTTTTTTATTGACTACGTCACACACCACAACCATATTGTCGGTGCTTTTATCTGAGCTCTTCCTTTTTTGTCTTGGTTATGAATGTAAACCTTGCATCCTGTTTAAGATTTTGAAGGAAATTAAATTAATTTAATTTAAACAATGTAAGAAATGGGCTTTAGGAGCCCATTGAAATGAGCCCAAACTTGGTATCAAGTAATGCTGCTTGACACTATACTAATTATTATAAAGAGGTAAAGTTTGTGAGTTTATGACGTTGTAGGGGGTAATCTCTGCATCTACTATACCGATTTAGATGAAATTTGGTAAGAAGATAGTTTGAGACCCTGTTAAGACATAGGATACTTTTTATCTCGGAAATCATCCCTTAAGGGAGTGAAAATGGGGATGACAGTTCGTATGAGGAATCAGGCTATTACTATCACATTTCAACTCATAACATGTTAAATTAAATATCAAATAAGCGAAGCCAGGGCGGGTTGCTTGTTTTAATGTACATACATTTTAATAATTATTTGCCTTATTAATAATACGTTAAGGAAACTATTTATACGTACTATAAAAATATCCCATTACCATTGTATTTAAATGGTTAACCGTAAAACTCGAAATTTTTAAAATACTTTATTTTCCAGTGACCCATTATTGACTTGGCATGTTTTTGGTACAGGTTATTTCCCTATTTCAAAAGGCTTAATTCAAAGAAATATTTAATAAATTATGTGGCGTACTGAGTTGAAGAATACTAATATTGAAAATCGTATTCAGTATTAAATACTATTCATGTCGACAAGTGATTCCAATAAGTTTCTTTCCTTGTTCTTATAGCAGGAAAATGTTTCTTCAAGTTAAGGTTAAACAACCGCGCTTCTTTTATGTCGATTTTGAGAATATCTTCGTAATGCTCACGTAAACTTTTTATAATTCTATCTTCGAATATGTTATTAATGTTGTTTCCTTATGGGCAAAATAGTCCTTTTCTTAGAAAAACGTTTAATCGCCGTTAGCAAAGTCATTCATGATCATTTACGTTTTCTTTTTTGCAATCGCATAGGTTAAAAATATGTGATTCCTATGAATTATTATAAACTAGCGACTCACCCTCGCTCCGCTCGGGTTCGTCCCTACTTACGTTTTAACTGTTAGTATAGATTTCTCAGAGATCAAATTATCCCGCAGTAAAAAGTAACCAGCTACCATCATACCAAATTTCATCAAAATCTGTCAAGTGGTTTCCATGTGATGCGTTTCCAGACGAACTGACAGGCAGACAAAAATTCTAAAAACTGTACATTCGGTCTCTGTATTAAGATTTAAAAATATATATATATAATGTACAGATTCGACACAGAATTTTATTATATGTATAATAGATGATCATGATTCTCGCTAAAGCAAAATATATTTTTCTGGAAAAATATAATTGTGAACACATAGCCTTTGACATTTTATATATCCACTTTAGATGTAAAGAATTACAATGAAGTTTATAGGAACTTATTCATTCAAGTCTGTTTTTTCTATAATTTACAGTGAAGAAATAACATCCACTTTAGACAAATCTCGTGTGTTAGTGGTAGTAGGCGCGGCAGGTTGCGGGAAGTCTACGCGGGTTCCAGCCGCGATATTAAGGTATAGCGGGGTTCATACTACGGCGATAGTGTCCGAGCCAAGGCGAGTGGCGGCAATAGGCCTGGCTCAAAGAGTTGCTGATGAATTGGGTGAACAGGTGAGTGTTGTTTTTTTTTTGAAGTTATACTTCGAAACTTGTTACGAAAAAAATATGAGAGTAAAATGTTTTATGATGCGCGCGTACACTGACAGCTAATTAATAGTTAGCTGCATTCCTTTTACAAACAGAGAGCTGTGACATACGGGATGAAATCTTTAGCTATTTGTTACGCCAAAGAAGTATAAGTTCCGTTTTTCCGGGAAACTTTTTTTTTTCGCCTAAAATATATAGATTGATACTCGTATCTCTACTCATAAAAACTAGAAATTCAGTTTAAATAAATTGATACAAACTGACAGACAATTTTGACGGTTATTGGACTTTCGTATCATTTTAATCCCATAATCCCATCCCATAAATATTATAAATGCGAAAGTTTGAATAAAACATAATGAAAACATATAAGTTTAACACTTCAATCTATAGCTTCTCTTCGCCTTTAGTTTACTTTGTAACCACTGGACATGACACGTTCCTGTATGACAATATGAAGAAAGTAGAGTTCGTGATGTGTGTTAACGTCCAATCTCCTTCGTGTCTTCTTCTCCATTCTATGTGACATTGGCGAAGTTATCTGTGCTCAACTTACATACTTTAAAGCCATTAACAAGAAAATTGAATTGAAAATATAACTTTGGAACTTTTGATGGACCGAAATATAACCTACACTTTTAAAATAATCTTACTAACGTTTATCCGTTTGTCTGTCCGTCACATAACCATCCTTACTACATATCTAAAAAAAAGTTTAAATTGTACTGATAGCGCCAAGATTGCCGCATTTAGACATACATACAGACTAATATTAAGTAATAATAACTTATTACAGGTAGGAGAATCCATAGGCTATCAGGTCCGTCTACATTCCAAACTGCCTCGTCCGCCCGGCGGCGCCATACTTTATTGCACATCAGGAGTTTTACTGCGACGGCTTCAAATGAATCCAGGTTTGATTACCAATTTACTGATCTCTTTACTACGTAATTAACCTTTTGCAATAGGCTAGAGGAACTTTTTAATATATATTTAACATCTCAGAGACGTATCTCAGATATGAAAAATTAAAACATTGAATGCATTTAGTATAAAATTTAATAAATTGTCCAATTCAAACACATGCACGAAATGCAACGAAATGTAAATATAATAAAATTGTAACTAAGCCGAATCTGTACATTAGATATTTTTTGGAAAATCTTATTGAAATAAACATTATTATCGGTACAGAGGCCGAATCTATGGTTTTTCAATTTTTTGTCTGTCTGTCTGTTACCGCATCACAGAAAGACCACTGGAGGGATTTTGATGACATTTGGTATGGTGATAGCTGGTTATCCGGGTCAACATATACTTTTTACCGCGTGAAAATATCTCATTTTTGAGAAAAATACAAAAATTGCAATGTAAAAAATACAAAAATGCAAGAGTATACTAATATGTAAAACATGAGAATTTGGTTTTTGGTCATCTGAACCTAGTATATTATATTTGCTTTGCATCGGCCGTTTAGTTTAGTTATTTTTTACATTTTAGTGCCTGGATTTTGGTTATTTTTTTAAGTTTTTATTATTATTTGTTGGTTTGAGATAAATTGGAAAACAAAAATTGCTTATTATAATTATTATAATTTTGTGTAACAGGTCTAGAGGGGTGTTCTCATGTCTTCATAGACGAAGCGCACGAAAGGGATGTCAATACTGATGTAACTTTGTTACTACTGAAAAGAGCTTTAGATATTAACCCTGAATTGAAGATAATTGTAATGAGCGCTACATTGGACACGGCTGTATTTACTAAGTATGTATCTCTCACTCCTTTCCCCCTCTCTTTTTATCCTCCTCTCCTCTTGATATCTCTGTTTCCTCTCCTCTTTTTCCCCTTTCTTCTTATTTTTTTTTATTTTCTTTACTTATACTTCGATGAGGTTAACGATTATTGCTAGAAGTACAAATTATGAATCTGTATATTTCCAATACAGGTGTTTAAATTATAAATAATAACTTATAATAAATAAATAGAAACTAAACTTGTTTATACGCAGTAATTTGTTACATTTACGCGAATATTTAACATTTTAAATAAAACTATCTTTTCGGATTTTTTCACGAATTTATTTTGATTTTTGGTTACGGACGTTTACAGCAATCATGGTCACGGGAGGGAGATTTTTTTATACGTGTCATAATACTTTAATTATTATAATAAGTATAACTCAAGTGATATTAAATGACGATATCTTAATTGCTAATTTAAAGATATTTCGACGATTGTCCAGTCATAGAAGTACCAGGTAGAACGTTTCCAGTTGAAATATCTTATTTGGAAGACATACAAAGTAAATTTAATTTAAAACTACCCTCAACTGAGGAAAATTCTAAAACTGATGGGAAACCACAAATAAATTGTCAAGAGGTGAGCATAATTAATACATAATATGTATGTATGTATATATATACTATTCTCATAAACTAAATTTCTATATACCAAAATTATATAAAATAAATTTACATGCAACACTATCATTTAAATGTTATTAAAATCGCTTAAGTAGTTTTTAAGATTATTATAGAGTATAGACTATGACTTACTTCCAAATGCTTAATTTTTCCGCAAATGTATTAACAAAGGGTCTATATATAAAAAAATATATATTAAGTTTGAATGCAAAAGTTTCGTTATACATATTTATAAAGTATCCCTGATATCTATATAGTGTACATTATTATTAATATATATTTTTTCAAGTCTGAAAATTCTAGTATAGTCTTAAATGTACTATTTTTAAGATTTTCCACACGAGTAGCACCGCGACTAAAATCGATTAATTAAAAAATAATGAAAAGATCGATTAATTAATCAAATAATTAAATATTAATATTTGAAATCGATTCAATAGTACACAATTATTATTTTACTTTTTAACCGACGAAAAAAGGAGGTTTTCAATTCGACACGTATTTGAAGTTATACTTCTTTTGAGAAATTTGGAAAAAATGATAAGAGTACAATTTTATATTATACGACAGCCAAAAAGCGACATGGTGAAGTTAGCTGCATTAAAAAATAACATATGGGATGAAATCTATAGCTATTTTTGTTCTGTTACGCCAAACAAGTATAACTTCTCACGTGCGTACATACACAAATACACACGCGTTTTTTTTTGTTATTAGATCATAGACGTAATAAAAGCAGTGGACAAAACTCAATGTGAGGGTGCAATACTAGTGTTCCTCCCTGGCTGGGCTGAAATTAAGCAAACTAAATTACTGTTAGACGATTTGTACGCGAATTCACCTTTATACATGGTGCTACCAGTACATTCTAGGTAAGATTATGTACATAAAAATATTTTTATTATTGAGTTTTTACGTTTTTATTAAATTACTAGCGACTCACCCTCGCTTGGCTTCGGTTTCGTCCTTAGACAAAAACGAATCTATCCCACGGGAACCGTACATTTTTCCGGGATGAAAAGTAGTCTATGTGTTATTCTGATGTATGAGCTATATTATTGTACAGTTGCATCAAAATCCATTCCGTACTTTTTGCGTGAAAGAGTAACAAACATACATCCATATATCCATACATACATTCTTACGAACTTTCGCGTTTATAATATTAGTAGGATGGACTAATGATATATCCTCGCTTTGCTCAGACTATGTATTACTCCAGATCATAAACTATCTGTGTACATCCAAATCGTTCCAGCTTTTTCAGTGTGAATAATGAATGAATAACGTAATCTAATAATAGTAGGGTAATTGTTATTTTTATTATTTTTATTTTATATTTTTAATTTTACTTATCTAATCCCTTACCTTTCAACAAACTTTCGCATTCATAAGAATGCTCTGATATATGGACATCTGTAACACATTTTTTTTATTTTGCAACCATATATATAATACGAATAATTACTGAAAAGCAAAAAAAATTCTGTTATCTTATACTGCTAATTTTTAAGTTTAGGTTTTTAGGTTTATTTTAGGTATAATTAGGTACATATACAGGTGTATGTATTTTCCTCTTTAATTTAAAGGACACAAGTAGTATATAGCCAATTAAAATACTTAATTTACAGGTTATCAACAGACGAACAGATAAAAATGTTCGCAAAACCGCCACCAGGTGTGCGAAAAATTGTATTATCAACTAATATAGCAGAAACTTCCATCACTATACCTGATGTGGTTCACGTCATTGATAGTGGGTCCTTCAAAGAAAACCGCATCAAGGAAGGCACAGGTATATCAAAATCAAATGTTCTTTACCGATAAGCTTCGTGCACGGCACGTGACGGTGCCGGTCCGGTGCCACTCGGTGACAGAACGGTTTAGTGGGCAAAGTCTAATACTTTTCAATATAAAGATTTTTTTGCCTGCCACGGCCCTAGCACGGTCAAGGTATGAGACGGTGTAGTGAGCAGTTTTAAGTATTGAATTTAAGGTTCAATTTACATTGTTGTATATTTATTTCAACTAGAATAATTACCTAAACACTATTGGTCACAGTTTTAAGAGAGCTTTTGCATGGGATTGTGTATCTAGTACGTGTTTGATCGATTATATTAACTGATATAATTCTAATCACTTTAGGTACAGCAAGCTTAGAAACAGTATGGGTTTCTAAAGCCGGCGCTAAACAGAGAGCGGGCAGGGCGGGGCGTGTGCAGCCGGGTGAGTTAACTTATATATTTAAAAAGACATTATATACATAATATACAAAAAAAAACAAATATATTGTCCTCCGACTTACATTTATTTTTTTACGTCGCGTCGGTTCCAAAAAGATGCATAAAATTTTCAATTTTTTTGTGTACGGTTTTGTGCAGCCATTTTGCTTGAAAGTTTTTTTTTGATTACATATTTTTTATAACTTTTTTCAAATGTACAGGTCACTGCTACAGATTATATACAAAAGAAAAAGAAGCCGAATTCAGTCCGCACACGACTCCAGAAATATTAAGGTATTTTTAATTTTATTTACTAAAAGTAGCATATGTTACTCAAGGCTGTCTTATTTTTATCATTTACTAGCGACTCACCCTCGCTTCACTCGGGTTCGTCCCTAGGTACGTCTTAGATTAAAATGGATATAGTATGTTATCCTTAAGAGATAGATAGACCTATATAAGATACACAATTTCACAATACATTATTTTGTTTTACCTCAAATGGTTTAGGCAGCGTTTTCGTTGAAAGACGTGGCGTGGAAGATATAGAAGAAAAAATATTATTGGGACCTTTATCAACGCAAATAACACTCAAAACAATGATCGTTAGATTTTTTGTTTGTTTGCCTGTTTATCTGTAGTCTGTGCGTTTGTGCACGCTATTCTCAGAAACGGCTTATTTGATTTAGATGTGATTTTCACTAAACTATTGTGGTAAGCTTCACTTAATATTTAGTGTTTGTTTCAAGTCAACCGATTCATAAACAAAAAAGTTTTGCCAATTTAAAGAATCACATCGAACATTTGTTAAATAAACTATCTATGACGCATATATCTATCTATTCTTTCTCTGTTCAGTAGCATTTACTGAAACTTTACTAAGCTTCCAGAACGGCTGAACGGATCTAGATGAAATTTGGCACAGAGATAGATTACGATAGAGAATGTACGGTTCCCATGGGATAGATTTGTTTTCGTTTTTCTAGAGGTGAACCCGAGGAGAAGCGAGGGTGAGCCGCTAGTACAGAATAAAATAATATAATAATATTACCCACGCCTAGCTAACCGATGACTTGAAGAAATGATTACAAAAAATCGTCATTTTTTTACTTTCTATAATTATAATATGTATATATTACTACATATTTAGAATTTTCCCAAGTAAATTCTCAAGCTCATATAGAAAATTATATGACATAAAACAAATCTATCACACGGGAACCGTACAATTTCACATTTATAATATTAGTTGAGATTAAAATCCGTTGCATACTTTGGGGAAGAAACAATAAAAATGGCGGTTTTTATTTATATTATTTTCATTTATTTATTGATAGATTTGGTTTTTCAGGATACCGCTAGAACAAACTGCACTCGATTGTAAATCTTATGCCCGAAACGATAAGGTTGAGAATTTTTTGTCACAACTGCCCGAACCCCCGAGCAGAAATGCGATACGGCTTGCTGTTAATGATCTTATAGATTTGGGTAAGTGATTTGTTTGTTTGTTTTTTTATGGTATTTTTTTATATTTTTTATTTTATATATATATAAACAAAGTCGTGCTAGTTACACCATTTATAACTCAAGAACGGCGGGACCAATTTTTATGATATTTGATTTTTTTGATTTCTCTTACTAAGACACATTAATATAACATTAAGACATTAAGACACATTAATATAACATTGAAAAACTAACGAAAAAGAAAAACATTTACATGGTTAACGCTGATGATAACTATTTATATATATATATATTTAATTTATTATGTTTTTATATTATTTGTTTTGTATTTTTTTCTTTTAATTTTTTTGATTAATGAATCTAGAATTGCTATTCTAAATTCATCAATCAAAAAAATTAAAAGAAAAAATACAAACAAAATTAAATCTTTAATTTAATATTAACTAAATTTCACTGTCAAAATCCTGTGTATTATATGTACCACGACAATATCTAATTTTATTATTTTTATCTAGTTTTTATTTTAAATACTAAAAATTTCTAAGAATCTTTTAATGATAAAAAAAAACTAAAGTGACTGTTTGTAATTTCAAAGTAACGTTTTTTTCACTTAATGCAAATGAAATTATATATGGTATACATATGTATAAGAAAAAAACAACTTTTAAAATTTTTATTGGTCTGTCTGTTTATTCCGGCTAATCTTTGAAACAGCTGGACCGATTTTAACGGGACTCACTGGCGGATAGCTGATGTTATAAAGAGTAACTTAGGCTACTTTTATTTTAGAAATGACTAGAATTTCGCTGAAAAAAAACGTACCTAAAGACGTAACCGCGTGAAGCGACGATAAGTGGCTAGTTTCGATATAATTAACTTATTTTCTCACTTCTGAAGGGTTTCTGGAAGGAATCTCTTAAAGAGATAAGTTATCCTTTGACGACATTCTGTTACTTTATTCTGTAGTTTGTTTCCAATATAAACTTTCATCGCCATTTTCACACCCTTAAGTGATGATTTCCGGGATAAAAGTATCCGACGTCTTTCCCAGGGTCTGAAACTATCTTCCTACCAAATTTCATCTAAATAGATTCAGTAGATCCAGAGATTACCGCCCACAACGTCACAAACTCACAAACTTTTCCTCTTTATAGTATTAGCATAGATAACATATATTTTATGGTACATAAATAAATAATTTTAATTTAGGATTTCATTCATACTTTCAGGTGCTTTTACACCGTCTGAGCAACTAACTCGGCTCGGTGTTATATTATCGTCTATGACTCTACACCCGCGGTTGGGACGCAGCGTTCTAAACGCGGCGTTTTTCGGCGGCGTTCTGGCCGCCGCCAATGTGGCGACGCACTGCGCTGACAACGTGGACCTGTTTCGTAATTCCGCTGATAGGAGAGAAGGTAAATTTATTAATATACAATGTATATAATAAAAAATATAACTAATTATATATTAATATTTGTATACTAGCATAAACCGCGGCTATGCCCGCGTTCAATCTACAAAAAAAATCTTTGGCTTTATGTCGCATACACGTTTTCTGTTGGCTTGTTAGCTTTATGTTGTTTTTTTTTAGGAGAGAAGGTCAGTTTATTGATATATATAAAACTACCGAACCACCCTTGCTTCGCTCGTGTTCGTCTCTAGATTGATTCCACATACAAATTTTCATCCCCATTTACACCTTAAGTGATGATTTCCGGGATAAAAATGTCCTGATAAAGACTATCAGGGTCTTAAACTATTTTCTTACCAATATTTATCTAAATCAGTCCAGTAGTTTTTGAGTTTATCTGTTACAAAAATACAAATTTTTCCTCTTTATAATAGTATAGTAGTGTAGTAAAATAATAAAATTAATAAGTGAACCCTTTATTAATTTTTTCCATAACAATAATAATTATTAGACATTTTTCACAGAAATAAGAGAAATCAAACGTAAATTCAGTCCAACATCAGACCACTCGGCATTACATTGGCTACAAGATACCTTCGAACAAAAACTGGAGGAAATCGGTTGGAAAAATATAGACGAATGGTGCGACAAATATGGCTTGAGGAAGGACAGGTTGAGTTATGTTAAATGTAAGTGTTTAGTGTTGGTTTTTGAAGTTATACTTGTTTTGACACGTTTGGAAAAATTATGAGAGCAAAATTTTTACATGCGCGCGCACACCGACAGCCAAAAAGCGACATGATGAAGTTAGCTGTATTCCTTTTGCAAACAGAGAGTTGTGACATACGGGATGAAATCTTTAGCTATTTTTGTTCTGTTACGCCAAAGAAGTATAACTTCTTACATGCGTACATACACAAGTTTTTTTTGTTATTTTTTTATTATTTTTTTATAAGGTTAGTACCTATACGGTCACCACAGACATTTGTCTGTGCCCGTCTATGAGATTTAGTTTAATTTTTTGGGGTTTTTTTTGGTTTTCACAATAATTAAGGTTATAATCTCGCGTACAAAAGTTCTAGCGAAATATGCATATGAAAACTGCACCAGCTCTTCTTCTTCTCTATCTTAAACATCTCCTACCTAATTGAAACTCTAATTTTATATCGTCGATAAACAAATAACAATTCCTTCCAGCGATATCGAACCTGCATCTGGAACATTTGTTGAAAACCGATATAATTGATTCAAACACTGAACCATCAGAGTTAAACCGTTTTTCCGACATCGACGAACTGACGGCCGCCATTTTGTTATCCGGTTCAAATACGCTATTGGTTTCTAGAAAATATGTGAAGACTAAAGGCAAATTGATGACTGTCATTGATTTGTGTACAAGGTATTTATATTGTATCTTACATATAATAAAAAACTAGAGGTCGAATGTCTGTACATAGAAAAAAAATGCTAAAAACCGAGTCAGGGAGATGTAAAAAGATAAATAGAACAAATCCAGTTTTTTTTTCAATTTTTTTGTTTGTCTGTCTGTTTATCTATTTCTACGGGCTGCTCTCCGAAACTGTTGGACCGATTTGAATGAAATTTTGCATGGTGGTACCTTATATCCCCGGTCAACATTTTAGATACTTTTCATCCCGGAAAATTAAAGAGTTAAAACTATAATAATTTATATTATAGCTTAGTACACAAAAACTACTGATTGGATTTGAATGAAACTTTACAATAATATATGTAGTTATTTATTCAGAATAAAAAAAGGCTACTTTTTATCCCGGAAAAATGTACGGTTCCCGTGGGATAAATTTGTTTTTGTTTGTCTAGAGGCGAATGTGAGCGAAGCGAGGGTGAGCCGCTAGTGTTAAATAAATATTTTTATGTTGTCTGACAAAATTCGAATTCTTGACTCTCTCTCTACATGATTGAAAACCTAAATATTTCTATTTCAGCAAAGGTGAAAAAGCCCACATTGGCAGTGAAAGTGTGAACTACGGTATAACAAAACGTAAACACAGCACTCACCTTTTAACCTACTTTGGAGGTTATCATTCTATGGAAAGAAGAGCTCTAGTAGTCCATAGAACTTCACTAATACCGCCACATACTGTGTTGTTGTTTTCTATGGGAAATATAGAAAGAAATGTTATGGTAATTATGAGGTTTTTTTTCTTTGATAGGTAAATGGAAGTCTATATAGATAATTTGTCTGTCTGACTGTCAAAATCTATTATTGTAATTTTTTTAGTGAAAATTGTTAGTTTATAGGCGGCCATTGGCACTGAAACTAGCCAATTGCAGGTGATATTATAATAAAGCAGTGTGTGTGGGAGAGAGCACACACATACACTCTCGGTCTCTTTCACTCTCAAAATCCAATGGAACGACAATTTAACGGGAATGATTCCCAAATCTTCAACTCCGGGCTGTTACTGAGCATTTTTAATAGAAGACTCGGTAACTAAACTTGGTTCGACGCGGAACTCAAACCCAGGGCCTCTGGGTGTGCAGCCATACATTCTAGCCATTAGACCAATTATTATTAGGCAATCAAATTTCCATATTATATAGTATTCTTTCTACTTTATGAACTACTTTAGTCTGACTCGCACTTATTCTATATATTTTTTGATAATTGCGTTTAGGTTGTGTGTATGTTGAGAAATATCTTTCCTAATTGTTAATAATTTTTTTTATTATTATTGTTATTTTAAATGAAATTAAAAAAATAAATAAATATCACAATCCAACAACAAGGTTAAAACATTTACATTTATAAATAAGGTTGATTACTCATACAAACTTTCATCCCCATTTTCACCCCTTTAAGGGATGATTTCCGGGATAAAAAGTATCCTATTTCCTTCCCAGGATCTCAAACTATCTACTTACCAAATTTCATCTAATTTGGTTCATTAGATCCAGACTACCCCCTACAACGTCACAAACTCACAAACTTTACCTCTTTATAATATTAGTATAGATTACTACCATTAAATTACAAAAAAATGTTTTTTGGGCACTGTCGCAGGCGTACACAGAATAACCCACCAGAGTTTCATCACAATCGGAACAACGGTTTAGGAACATATAGAGGACAAACATACAAACATTCATTTTTATTTACATAGGTGACTTTTAAAGTGTTAAGATTTTGAAGCCAGTGTGTTTTTGATACTAACAATTTCTTTCAGGATGCAAATAGTGAAACTACAGAATTATACCTTCCCAGACATAAATTAAAAATTCAAATGCCGACTGCGTGAGTATTTACTTCTGTATTAACTTTAACTCAGACTATAAGAGAGATGAATTGTGTTGAAAATAATTGAAGCCTGAAATAGTATTATAATTAGCTTTTATATCCCTTTTTTTGCTTCGCTCGGCTTCGTCCCTAGGTACGTTTTAACGGTTAGTATGGAATAGTTGATTCCTTGCTCGGTGAAGAATAAAAACAAATCTATCCCACGGGAATCATACATTTTTCCGGGATAAATACTAACATATTTGCTATTCCAGACTGTAATGTATCTCTGTGCCAAATTTCATCCAAATCCGTCTAGACGTTCTGGCGTTATTGAGTTACAAACATCCTTACAATCCAACATTTGTTCTACTAATATTATAAATGCGAAATTTGTGAGGATGTATGGATGTGTAGACGTATGGATTGTTTGTTACTCTTTCACGCAAAAATTACTGAATGGATTTTAATGAAATTACAATAATATAGCTCATACATCAGAATAATAAAATAAGCTACTTTTTATCACAGAAAAATGTACGATTCCCGTGGGATAGATTTGTTTTTGTTTTTCTAACCCGAGCGAAACAAGAGTAAGCCACAAGTTAAACCAAATTAATTTTATATTTTCAGTCAAGCAGATGCAATATTAAAGGCAAGGGAAATGCTCTGGGACACGCTACAGTATTTCATAGAGAGAGATATTAAAAATATAAGTTTTGATGAATTCACAAAAACTTCCCACTTCAAAACAAGGCTTGTTAAAGCGCTAGGAAGGATTCTAGTCGAAGCAGACAAAGAATATATACAAGATCGTATAACTGAAAAAGATTTTAGATGAATAAACAGTAAAAAATAATGTTTTTTTTTACCTTACTTCTTAATATGACTATGCATGGAATACGCCATTTTATATGTAAGTGCTTACAATAAAGAGTTCAAGCGGTAATGTCAGTTTTTGGTTGGAAACATTCGATTTTATATTTATAATCGCGGAATTATTTTGATTTTTACGTGGCGGGAAAGACTCTTCGGTGGACATGATTTGCTGATAAAGCATTTGAAACGTCGGGATTCCGAAAAGATAGTTTTATCTAAAATGTCAATATTCGCGTAAATGTAAAAAATATTATTTTTTTTGCTTTTCGTTTTTAGTTTGTGGCTAAATTATTGCAGTAATATATACATATATATGTACATATATTTTGGTATCGGATCTCTGCCAACTATCTTTTATTTGGTACAATATAGGTAATATTGCTACTATAATAAAAAATATTTTAATTCCTTTTGAACAGACACACTATTAAAATATTCCTATGTAGTAATATAGCCCAATACATATAGCCTATGTATGACCAAAGGCCATTCACACTTGAATAACATTCATACCCTCTCTCTGTGGCAGTCTAGCAATCGAGGAAAATTATTAACATAAATAATTTACTGTTATTAGCATAAACACTATTCTTTAAAATATATTATCTACATTTATTTAGCGATTTCGTAGAAATAATATGTTTGTTTATAAGATAGTAAATATTATCTACTAATTATAAATTCCTTATCGTGACCTAAAGCTAAACTTTAAGAGTTGTGGGATTTACATTATAATATTATTACGACATATTTGATTTTAAGGGGTTTTTTTTTAATAAAATTGTAGTTATACAGGAAAACTGAAAGGAAATTAACATAAAAAAAACGTGTGTGTGTATTTGTGTATGTACGCATGTAAGAAGTTATACGTCCTTTGGCGTAACAGAACAAAGATAGCTAAAGATTTCATCCCGTATGTCACAACTCTCTGTTTTGTAAAAGGAATGATAAATTAATAAAATAATTAAATAAGGGCATATTACAATAATATATTTATAGAACATCATTTAAGGAAAGAATATAATATTATATATCATTTGTCGGACAATAACAACGGTTACCATGGCAACAAAACAGTCATCAGCTAACTTCATCATGTCGCTTTTTGGATGTATGGGTGCGCGCGCATCGTAAAAATTTTATCTTATATTTTTTTCCAAACGTAACAAAAGAAGTATAACTTTCAATAATCGTATTTATTCTTTTTTAATATTATATGTACATTATGCAAGTCTTATTTTTACCGACTTTAAAAAGGAAAAGGTATTCGGTTATTCTATATCTTCGTTCATTGCGGATCGATTTTTAGAATTCCTTTTTATAATAAAGCTAAGCACAATTTTTATTGAAAATATTCAATTGAATTTATTTTTATTTGGGTTGCTATTTTAACAATCTATACATATAATAAAATCATTAACTGAGTCGAATCTGTACATTAACCGTTTCCCTCTTCCATGAGTAAATATAATAAACATTTCGATTGTCTAACTATTGTATCTATTTTGCGGACAGTTAATCTGTTTAAATATGTTTTGGAAAATCCTTATTATAATCGTCATTATTATCGATGCTGAGGCCGAATCTATAGTTTGTTAGGATTTTTGTCTGTCTGTCTGGGAACGCATCACGAGCAAACCACTGGACAGATTTTGATAAAATTTGGTATGATGATAGCTGGTTATCCGGGTCAACATATAAGACATTTTTTTACTTCGGGAAAATATCTCATCTTTGAGAAATCTATACTAAACGTTAAAACGTAACTAGGGAGCTAGAGTGACTAGATTATTTATAATTTTAAGGTTTTTTACAAATAGTAACTGGTGATATTATTTTACTACTTTCAACTCACCCTCGTTAGGTTGCTTCCCTATACAAACCTTCCTATACAAAAAAAAAGCATCGTCGTTAGGTTGCTTCCCTATACAAACTTTCATCCCCATTTTTACCTCATTAAGGGACTATTTCCGGGATAAAAACTATACTATATCCTTCCCAGGGTCCTCAAACTACCTTCTTACTAAATGAAATCTTAAATCGGTTCTGTAGTTTCGGAGCTTATTCGATACAAACAAACAAACAAAAAAATATTTCTTCTTTGTAATATTATATTTAGTATTACTATATTTTTAAATTGTATGAAACTAAACAGCAATACTGTCCAGAATCATAAATTTATATTTTTAAAATTGCAAATAAATAATTAATATCGATTTATCATTAAAATCGGATGTTTTCGCTACCGAATACCGATTATTTTAGCTACATGTTGAAGAACTCAATCTGACAACTGCCAAAGTGTATTTCCTAGATTTCATGGATTATATCAGAGTTGGTCAGATTACTAATACACTATATATTATTATTAAAACACTATAATATAATATTAAAACAATCACACCATTACTCTTTGTCATTACTTCTTGACAAGTGACAACTGACAGTTCGTTTGTAATCACCTTCACAAATCACAAGTCTTCTCTCTCCTGCAACTTGCACGTTGAATTGAAGTTTAAAATAAACAATATTATAGCCTACACAGTACACAGTAAACCGTGGGAACCGGTTAATATTAATAATAGGTTTTCCCCGTGTGACACTGTTCAAGAGCGTGGACATGTCGCTATTTAGTCTTGCTTTGTGATTGTACAAAATGTGTTACGCGATTTGTTCTTGACTAATATATATAAAAGAAATCAAGAAATATATACTGATACTAGTACCTTTATTAGTTTTCAGTGTAGTGAAAGTATCAAAATGCGTAATTTAATATTTATTATAGGCGTGTTTTGCGTAAGTTCGTATAAATGTCAAGTTCCTATTCAGTTATTGAACAAAAGTTTACATTCAGGGCTAACAGAGAAAATTGGTAATTTTTTCTATTGAATTACTTTATCATACAACGCAATCTCAGCCGAGGGCGGAAACTTGATAATTTCACCAATAACCGTGTGGACGGTGTTGGCGGTCATAGCTGAAGGTGCTACACATAACACACTAAAGGAAATAGGTAGTGCAATTCGAGTAAATCCAAAATATAAAGATAAAGTCAAGCAAGAGTACCAAAGCCTCCTTCACTGGCTGCAAGTTATTACACCTACAATTGAACTTCAAAAATTTAATGCCTTATTTGTTGATGATCGAAACAGACCCCTGAAAGATTTTCAAGATGTTGCCAAAGATTATGATACTAGGATGATAAGCGTCAACTTCACAGACTCAGAGAGGACTTCACAATTAGTCAACACTGCCATTAACACTGTTACACATGGGCGCATACCAGCATTGGTCAGCAGTGCAGATTTAGAAAGTGCTAATTTACTGTTTAGTAAGTGCATTATATTTCAAGGGGCAATGGACGGTTCCATTTAACAAATCATCAACAACTAAGCAGCCATTTTATGACAGTGATGGCAATAAATTAGGAGAAGTGAATATGATTTACAGTCGATATACATATCCTTTTGCTAGCATTGATAAAGACAAGCACGGGTATTAGAGATACCATATGGAGAGCACATCGCTTGTCTATGCTCATTATGTTACCAAATAAAGGTGTATCATTAAAAGAATGTTTTATAATTTAGGTAATATATCATTAGATACAGTGTTTGATGAATTAAAGGTAGCAGTCGAAGAATATGGAGACGATGAAGTTGATTGCTTTGTCCCAAGATTTAAGATAGAATCCAGTCTCTCTATGATACAAACCACTAAATAAGATGGGAATATATGATTTGTTTGATACAAAAAAAAGCAAGACTGCCTTTGATGACAAGAGTTCCTGTTTTTGTATCAAATATTATTCACAAATCTGAAATAGAGGTGGTAGAAGAAGGAACTACTGCATCAGCAGCTACCGCAGCAGAATTTAGTAATCGCATTGGAGTTATTAGGGTTTTGAAAGCAAATAGGCCTTTCTGTTACATGATAATTGAAAAAGTCACAAATTCTATAGCCTTTGGTGGCTTTTATCATACTCCTTCACTTTATTAATTTCTTTTTTTTTTATTGTCTTTAACTAAATTTTATATAGAATCTCATATATTAGGTTTTTAATTCAATCTAAGTTTTGGAAGGATGTTACTTCCAAGTAATAAATACTCTTGTAAATAGAAAAAAATGTATTAAAAAGACATAATATAGAAAACAAAGTGAAAAATGAATAATTTTAAATATTAAAAACAATAAAATAAAAAATAAAAACTAGGTTAGTTAAACATTCAATATATAGATGATTTTCTATTATGTAGCCATTTGACAATATTTTATAAGTGATCAAAATGTGATATAATAATTATATTGGAATAAATATATTAACGTTATTAATATTATTTAACAAACTTCCTTTATTTTATTTGTGTATTATTAAACTGATACATTTAATATGTATGAGTTCACCTTGATATCTTTATATTAGATAAAACTAATTTGAAAAATATTTTAAAATAAGTACATGTATAATTCGCTTTGCTTGGATCATTGTAGGTGTGGGTTTTTTTAATTTTTTGGAGCGGAACCCTAATTCTTTTTTGTAAAATAAAAGTAGCCTAAGTTACTCCCGTTAAAATTAGTCCAGCAGTTTCGGAGATTAGCCGTAACAAACGACAGACAGACAAAATTTTAAAAATGTGTTTTTATAAATTACGTTTTTTTTATACTTTCATATTTTATTTAGTAAAAAGCAGGGTATGAAATTATCAAGATACATAATAATGTCTTTTGATAATTATCGCGATAAAGTATCAAGATAATTGTCAGATAATTATCCGATAATTATAAAACAGATATAAACTTAGCAATCCTTGTGTAGGTATTGGTATTTGACTATTTGCTTAATTCATAAATTGTTACGTTCCGGGATAAAATTATACACTGTTTAGTAATGGAAAGGTAATCCCCCTTTTATTATAATTTTTTTTTTTTTTTATTATTTTTGACATAATTATACACAATTTTCAATTTTAATTAAAAAGTTTTTTTCTCTGCCCCACTACTACCCGAACTCAAATAACCATGAACCAGTGAAATAGGACCTGTGGTCCCCAGGCAAAAAAAATCCAATTGTTATTTGGGGATTTAAATTATTGAAGATTTACGGCCCCCCCTACAAAACACCATTTTCCCCCAATCAACCGATACCACAAGACCTTTTTCCCGGTCCCGCCGACCAACAAACCCGTTCCCCCCCCCCCCCCGCCGGGTTTGCCGTTGCATGTGGCATCGGTTTTAAACCAATAAATTTATCAGCAAGAATATGTTTGCCGGTACCAATTTCGGTTCCCCCCCGTCCCCCCTGGGCACGCGGAACGTTGCCGAACTGGTTTTGCACGCCTGGAAACGGCCCGATACCGGGTGGGAGCACACTGGGTTGTTAAACTTGCCTTTATGATGACCGTTTTCTAAAGCCCGTTTTATCAAACGTGGGTTTTGTTTCGCCTTTGTGTTTTCCTAAGTTGAATAATATTTTTTCTTTAAAAAAAAAAATTTTTTTTTTTTAAACGAGCATTAAACCTAGTAACGTCCCCGTGGGGGGGGATTCCCAGTTGGGATGTTATTTCTTTTTTTTTAAAATATTAGCGAGCGAAACCGAGCAGGCGGGTTCCCCCCCCCTCCCTGGGATTGTTAAGAGATTTACCCGCCGGGCCCATGAATTATTTGTAGCAACCGAGAAGGGGCACCACCCCTAAATGCTGTTTTTTGCCCGGGCTTTTTTAGGACTTTTATTGGTCCGGCCCCCTTTTGGAATCGGATTTCAACAAAAAACCATCCAAATCTAATGGGAGTTGGTTTTTCCAACAGTTTTTTTGGGTGAAGTGCCGGTGGAAAACAAAATGGTCCCCCCCCCCCTTGGCTCGCAACGGAATAGTTCCCCCCCCCCCCGAAAGTGCTCCCCCCAGGTCCCCCCCCCAGGTGGTGAGGGGTGAAAATTTGCTTGTTTTCGGTTGGGCGTGCAGGGTGGCGGTTTTGTAGAAAAGAGAGAAAGGGTGGGATTAAAAAGGGTAAAATAGTGCCTCCTTCAGAACATTCCCCCGTTTATATAGCCGATAGAATACGCAAAGAGAGCTTACGTCT